TGACAATAATGAGAAGGCAGTCATCTGTAAATCATTGGAAGTGGTGCTTCACCAGACACTGGATCTGAAAGCACCTCAGTCTTGGACTTCCCGGCCTCCAAAACTGTGAGAAGTAAACGTTGTTTAAGCCACCCACTCTACGGTAATTTGTTAAAGTAGCCTGAAGTGACTGACACATCTCTTTTCAATAAAGTCCTTTTCCCCCCACAAAGTTACAGTAAATTTCCCTTCCCATTAGTCATAACCAAATGCAAACTTTTGGGAGTGATGTTCATTGCCTTGATTATGGTGATGATTCTATGCATTCATATGTACTATGTCAAAACCAATCGAATCTTATACTTCAGATTAGAGCATTATACAATATATGTATATACTGAAACAAATTGCACCCTATAAACATGCACAATGAAAAAAAAATTTTTTTTTTAAATTTAGTGGAAGAACACATGGAACTCTCCCAAAATTTTATACTTTAAATGTGCTGATTCTTGTTCTTCACAATTGTACATTAATGAAGTTGTAAAAAAAAAGTGGAAAGAGCTTAATAACCAAATTCTTTCAGTTATTTTACAATAACTTATAATGTACCAACAATGGTACATTTAAGGAGGTCTCTTGTTATGACTGGGCTATTTTGGACTTAATAGTAGTACTTCCTTATTTATTCCACTGCCTCCTTCCCACCTCCCTTCACCCCTAGCTCCCAAGCTGCCACCTAATCCTCGAGGAAGTGAACAATTATAATAGTGTCATAGACAAGTTGGTGAACTCTAATTCATGATCAGTGGAACTAAAGTGAAAGACCTTAAACAAGGAGGTTTTGGATTTTAATCTCTAAATCCCTTCCAGGAGTTAAACATTAATGTTAATTGGGGTAAGTGATTTACCACAAACCAATGTTATGGCTTATGTCAAAATTATCTACTTAGATTACCACCTCTTTTAAGGACAGAGCCAAATCATTTATCTTGATTCCCAAATTTATAAGCAGTGTGTAATACAGAGCAGAGTAAGGAGGAACAGGGAGAGGGATAAAGGATATGATGTAAGACAGGGTAGGAAGAAAAGAGATACATGAGCAAGGGTATATGTGGGTGCAGATTATGCGAGACCTTGCAGGCCACGATATAGACCTTGGATTTTATTCTAATAGTGATACAAAGTCATTGGGTGATTTTGAGCAGAGAAGTCGTATGGCGTGATTTGTATTTTAAAATAAGGATCACTCGTTGCTGTGTGGAGAATAAATTGTATGAGGGAAATATGGAAGCAGGTTATATACCAGAGTATATCAAGAGGCATGGGTGCACATGTTCACTGAAAGATAGGAAAATTTTCATAGCAATTTTATTCATAATGAACACAGACTGGAAACGACTCAAATTTCCATCAGCAGTAGAATGGTATGGTCATACAATGGAATACTACACAGAAGTAAAAAATGAACTGCTACTACATACAACATGGACTCTTTTCACAGATATAATGTTGAACAAAAGACACAAAAGACTGAATATAATTATTCTACTTACATGAGAGTTTTAAAATGGGCAAAACTAATTTTTGGCACTAATGGTCAGAATAGTGGTTATCTGTGAATGATAGGGGCATTAAGGGCACCTACTGAGGTGCTAGAAATATTTTATCTTGATCTGGGTGGTACATTCAAGGGTGTATATAAAAATCTACTGATGTGTACACTTAATATTTGTACACTTGAAAGTTTTACCTCAATAAAAAGGAAAAATATATTGAAATAAATTATATAAATGGAGAGATATAACCATATATGAATCAGTAGTGTTGTCTTCCAAATATTTCTGGTTTTCCTCTGATATGTAGGTATGGCTGTGTGATTTGTTTTGGCCAATGAAAATGATTTAAGAGACAAGTGATTTCCCATACTTTTTTTCATTTCCCAAAATGAGCAGCCATAACCCAGATGGTATCTGCTTTGTCAGCCTCAGTCCCAGAATGAGGACAACTGGAGCAGGGATTAGTGAACTTTCTCTGTGAAGGGCCACCTGGCTAATGTTTGTCTTTGTGAGACATATACTCTGTTGTAACTACTTAACTCTGCCATTGTAGAGCAAAAACAGCCACAGACAATATATAGATAGACAAGGCTATATTCTAAAAAAACTTTATTTGGAGAAACAGGCAGCAGGATGGATTTTGCCCACGGACCATAGTTTGCCAATCCCTGAGATAGAAAAAAGTCCCTAGCCAAATTGCAATAAACAAGTTGTATGAGATGCTGAGATCTTGTAGTCGTTACCTCATGGCAACCTAGCTTATCCTGACAGAAACTGATTCCCTGCTTTAAAAAAACAAACAAAAAAACCCTACAATACCGAACATTTAGTTCAGCAAGTTAGCTTACTGGTTAGTTAGCAAGCATTCAGGAAATTGCTGTCAGAGGATGGAAGAAATAATTTACACAGGGGCAATTATTACGGAGAGGTGAAACTGTCCCTTGAGATAACCTGGAAGGCAGATACTCTATCCTTTGTTAAAGAAAAAGACAGGAAAACAAAATATTTTGTGGTTGCTATTGGCTGCATTTAACAAAATGTATGGAAAAGAGATGAACTCAGAAAAGAATTGGTCAGTTTGCAGGCAGAAATGAAAGGGAATAGAGATTCACAAATTCAAATAAGTAGGTTGAGGCAACTTTTCAATTATAGATAGATAGTAAGATAAAAGTGAGTAATCCTTTAATCCAAAGGTTGAGTAAAACCCAGGTTTATAGCAAGGACCAAATAACACCTACTGTTAAAATTTCTGAATGAGTTAATGTGCCTCAGACCAAAAGTCCCACTAAGAGAGTAACACTTGTTAATCATTTAAACTGAACTAAATAGCTAAAGAAAAAGAGAATAATGGTATGGCTCTCCCATCTAAGCTTGAAAGGCCCCAGTTACCTAGAAACTAAGTTCAGCGAGGCATGAGAACAAAAAAGCAAAGAAATACAGAAAATCTACAAAGTGCACAATAGCTAGATGTTACCTTTGAGTAATATCCCTTGGGGAGGTGATGAGGACATTCTGCAGGTAAGGAAGAAAGTGAACTGAATATCTAGTGACCAGAAGGGCTAAGTCATTCTTCTAACTTTTGTTAAATTTACTTACTTTTAAACCCCAGAAGAGCAAGAAATCATCTGTAAAGGAAAGTAGTAAGTAAATAGCATGCCATTTTCTCCTAGGGTTGATGCCTACAAAAGGAAAAATGGATATTAACTCTTAAGTGGCATTACCTTTTTCCAATATCGAATGTTAACTTTTTAATTACTTAACTATTGTCTTAGTTCACTAAATAGTTGTCCAACCTTTTTCCTCCATATGTAGGTTCCTTTCGAAATCTGCCTTTGGAAAGTTAAAAAATTAAGACTTTTTTTATCATGAATGTAGACTTAATATTACCCAATGGATTTATGTAATTACACCTGGTTTAAATCCTGACTTTCCTACTTATTATGTTTACTAGTGAAAATTGCAATCTTGTTTGTTTCCTTAACAACATTCACATAATAAATATTTCAACCACATGACAAGCACTGCACTAAATTCTGGAAATGAGGTTCCTAGTCAAAAAGAACTTAGCTTCATTTCTTAATTTGTAACATGTGGATAAAATTACCCAGTGAACAGTCTAAGGCAGGATGACTGAAGGTCAAATGTAACTGTAAAAGAGTTTCAAAGATTGTAAAACAGTACACAAATGCTGTATTTATTTATCCAAACATTTATTGAAATGCCAGGCATTCTGCTAAGCACTAGAGATATAACAGAGAGCAAGGCTTATATGGCCCCTGCTCTTATAAAGCTTACAGTCTAGCAGTGAACAACAAGCAGTAACAATAAAGTGTGCTAAATGTACGGTTGGGGAAGAATAGGGTGTTTAGGGAGTGTGCAGAAGGCCACCTAGTCTAGAGAGCATCGATGAAGGCTTCCTAAATGAAGTGGCATATAAACTGAGACCTGAAAGATGAATAGAGGGCCGGCCCGGTGGCGCACTGGAGAATGTGCCGCCTGGGAGTGCAGTGGTGCTCCCACCGAGGGTTCGGATCCCATGTGGAGACCAGTTCCCGCTCACTGGTTGAGCGCGGTGCGGGCGCAACACCGAGGGTTGCGATCCCATTGCCGGTCCCCAGTGCGGGCGTGACACCGAGGGTTGCGATCCCGTTACCGGTCAGTAAAAAAAAAAAAGATTTAAAAAAAAGGGAAAAAAAATTAAAAAATAAAATTTAAAAAAAAAAAGAAAGATGAATAGAAATTTGGATTTTACTCTAAAAGCAATGGAGTGATATGACCAGATAGGTCCTTTGGAACAATTTGGATGCAGTGTGGAAAGAAATAAAAACAAGAGAAAAGGAGAGTAATGAGGAGACTATTGCTATAATTTATGTAGGTTGATGGCCTAAATTAGGAGACCAGCACTAAAGAGTTGGGAAAAGTCATGGATGACAGTTTTGGGCTTGGGCAAGGGCAACTGCATGTTTGGTAGCGTTAGTGCCATTTACCAAAAGAGGAAACAGAAGTAGTTTTGGGGGCAACATCAATGACATGCGGTGTTGGTGTTTGTGAGACAGCAAAGTGGACCTACGTTGCAACTTGATACATGAATAAGGAAAAGTCTAGAAAAGAGATAGGAATTTGGGAGTTGTTTGCATATTGGTGGTGACTGAAGCCATGGAAGGAGATGAGATCAGTTAGGGAGATGATATTGAATAAGGTAGCCTAAAACAAAATTTTTCTTTAAATCCTAACATATATTTAAGGGAAGAGGTGCTTACAAAGAACACTGAGAAAGCATACTTGGAGAGGGTATCTCCTCAAAGCTAAAGTAATCAAGTATTTCAAAGAGGGTAAGAATACTGACAAGGACTCAGTAAGCTTGTTAGAGAAGTCTGAGTGGCAATATGGGAGACTGGGAATACAAATCTTTCAAGAAAACTAGTAGGAATGGGAGATATAGGGCAGTAACTGGCAGTAACATAGTTTTTTAAATGGTACTTATTTTAACCATTTTCACTGATACAACAGGACCAGTAACAACTATAATATTTATAAAAAACAAAAACAAAAAAACAACAAAAAAACCCTGCCATGCAGTTACAGAATTACTTAATACAGAAAACAGTAAAGTACACTTTTTTTTTTTTTAACAAACAAGACTAGTTTATAGCAAATTCTATATTGCTGAGGGTCAATTTAAAATCCTTATCTTAAATCTCCCCCCTTCACTCAGTAACTATATGATGCAAACTAATTTTATTATCACCTTAAAGCAAAACATACTGGAACTTCACAAAATGTACAAGATTTCAATATTTGAGAAACTGAGGTTAGAAAGCAGAAGCAGCTTTCAGGTCTTCCAATCTTTCTCTCAAGTAATAAAACATTTGCCATGAAATAGAATTCTCAAACCTATTGGGAAATTACTGGTAGATACTTTGTTTTTTTCAGTTTTTCACTGTTGTTTTTCCAGATAGTTAGCTTACTCTGTTAACCAAAATCTCAACTCGACCATTCTTGATAAGTATCTTGTCAACATATAATGCTTGTTCTTCTGTCCCAATTATGTATAATAGGATAGAGCCCTTTAATCTGACTCAGTATCAGTAACTGATTGATAAATGCTATTTTGAGCTACTGGAACCTATCAATGCCTTTATTGCACCTTACCAGGAAAACTTGGAATGTTGGAATTAGTCTCCTCATCAAGTAGTCAGTTTGCCCAACTTGCCCTCCTAATTTTGCTTCTACTAGTAATTTGCCCTGTCCTTTGAAATACAACAATCTACACTGGGGGTCTACTGGCACTTTGGAAGGGATAATTCATCATCATGCCAGGCTGTTCCCTACACTCCAGGAGGCAGAGATCTTCAGGCTTAAATGCCAGCAGAAGCCTCCAGTAAACAAGACAACTAAAAAAAATGCTTCTATACATTTGCCAATATCCTCTGGAATGAGGGGTTATTGCCTCCGGCTGGGAACCACTGACACAACTTTGGTTCTTAGGCTCTTGTGGCATCTATTTTGATTGCTCGGGCACCAGTTCCTTCTAAATTCTTGGTTGTATGCTGGTTCCTTGAATTTGTTGGGTTAGTGACCACAGAATAATGAGTTGCAATAACTAAAATAGGATTTAGCACAACAGTTTTCATATTGTACTTGAGAGGATCTGTAAGTTGGGTCCTGCTTTTAAATCAGTTTTACATATTAAATTTTACTTTAAGATCGCCTTTTCACAGTTAACATAAATTTGAAAATTACTGCTTTAGCACAGGCAGATGTCTTACTAAAAATACAGAATTACTACAATCTGTGAATAAGGCTGCTTCTTGAGAGTTAAATATTTCTACTTGTGCACTGTCTTTGATACAGAATGTGTGGGACAGTCTCAAATTCTAGAATAAATCCATTTCTAGCATCTAACAGAATCTGATACTATATCATTTTAAAATAAAGTGTTTCCTTTAAGCTGGATTTCTTTATAAAGCATTAACACCCATGCAGATAGGACAAACAAGCTAAAATATCTCAAACCTCCTGATCCTAGAATGCAAAAGCCTTTTATCCTCACCCTTTTTGCCAGGACCAAACTTCTGTCTAGAATAGAAATAGAGTTACTAACTGGCAACCATCAATATTTCATACTTACCATAGTCCTTTAATAGGCAACCTGATAGAACAGCCCCCAGTTCTGAAAAATTGAGGGGAAACCTCCAATAATTGGTTAGTCTTAACTCCAAATTGCAGGAAGCCTCCTAAGTCAGCAACTTAATAATTCTTGCTCCTCTGACTAAAGTTTTATATGATTAGTTCCTCTATTAATAATATCAATATCACTGGAGGGGGGGGTGAGAGGGAGGAAATGTATCAATATTTACTTCAGACTCAGAAATGTTAAAAAAAAAATAGTTTCAAACAAACATTTTGATAGTTAGACAAAATACCTCCACTGTATATACATTCTTCCTCTTCAGAAACTTAAGAACTTGCTACGATAGTTTCAAACAAACATTTTGATAGACAAAATACCTCCACTGTATATACATTCTTCCTCTTCAGAAACTTAAGAACTTGCTACGTGAATTTCTGTAAATTGGTTCAAATAAACATCTAAAGAGTTGATAATTTCAAACTATATGTATCAGAATTTTAACATTTCATTAAAATAACTAACATTTTTGGCATATATCTTCAGAACAACTTAAAAACAGACTTCTAATTCAACTCACATTATCAACACTAAACTTTCAAATCAATCACAAAAGTAAAAGACAATGACTTTGTCATTAAGTTTTCAAAAGGTGGTGTTCTCATGTTTCAGTCCCACGCTGCCATTTTAGATGAAACAAAGGCAACCGTCACAAGGATTTAAATTGTGATCAATTTGGACAGCTTGTAATAAACTTAGTGCTTTCCCACAATCCAAATTAATAAACTTGAAAAATCAAACCAATTTTTGCTTTTAAAATTGAATTCTTGTTGAGTTTTTCAATGTTGTACTGCAAAGGCTTATGGATTAGACTCATTTCTTCCTCTCACAAGATCATCCCAGCGAGGCTCCATTTCAGTTGTGGCAATCCGAAAAAGGGCTTGGAGATGCTCATCTGTCAACGGCTGGCTCAAAGTGTGCTGGTTTCGAGTCAAATACGAAAAAGCCTTTTCACAGATTTGGTTACTATCAAACAAGGATGCCACCTTATAGGCAACCCCTTTAATAATTGGGTAAGATTCGGCAGACAATCCAGCATAGAACTGCCCCAAGTCCTTTATTCTGTATTCATTCCAAAGGCTAGTGTTTGCTTGAAGCTTTGTTAGCTCTACTCTTACTGATATAGGTGCATATTCCGGTTTAAAGTTAAAGGGATTTGCAAAAAGTTCTAAGTCCTTTTTAATGAATCTCAGGTCCTTATAATGTCTCTCAAATTCTTTCTGTAGACGACAGATAACCATTTGATACCTGTCAGGATCAAATATTTTTTTATCTTCCTTAAATTGCTGTTTAAGCTCATCAACAACTTCTCTGAAGGCAGGAAAGTGTGTTAGATTTTTTTCCTCCATATGCCTCTGAAATAAACTCAGCTTAACTTCAAAAGTGCAAATATGGTCAAAGGCAGCAGCAGCAAAGACTTTACTAACTTGCAGTTCTTTACTGAGTTCTTGAAGGTGTTCCATAATATCCACCAAGAAGCCAAAGTCACAAAGCCACTGTTTGTCTGTGAACTGGATTGCTGCTGCCCCTACCGAAATCAAGAATGCTTCTATTTCTTTTCTTAGTGAAAATATTAGTTTTAAAGTTTTCCCTCTTCTAAGCCAATTGTTCAGACATCGTCCATTAACCCTTTCGCCATGCTCTGATTCAGATTCAGTTAATAAAATCTGAAATTCGGGTCGCCGAACGCCTCTGGTCTTAATCAAAACTATCCATTCGGATATGGTATTTATGATCTGATTAATATCTACATCATAGGAACTCAACAGTTCCAAGTGAAGAAATCCTGAATAATGGATAACATTCCAACAGTTGGGGCTTACGGCCTTTTCTCTCATGTATGAGACCAGTCCTGAGTTCTCACCAATCATCCTCAAAGTGTGGGTGGTGGTCAGTCCAACCATTCGCTGCAAGCTAAGCCCTGCTCTCTGCAGGGCCTCTAGGATTGCCGACATGAGCGCACCAACACTGAAGTGATGAGTCAGGTTAATTATGGTCAGAAGGTCTTCTTGCACCTCCAAACCAGGGCCCACGCCGCGGATAAAGACTAGGAGATAATTCTCATAGGCCACAAAAGCCTGGTCGTCCAAGGCAAGAGAATAGGCTTTAAAGTCCTTGGCTCGGTTAAAAAGCTGACTGCGTAGATTCCTATCAATGCTCAGGATCCTCCGCCTTGTGGTCTCTGGAGTTAAATCGATGCCTTGCAGGTGGCCTACGTGCTCGGGCAGTACCTCTCTCAGCAAAACCTCCATGCAATCGTATACGAAATCTCCCTCACCCCAGCCGCGACCCTTCAAGGCCAAGAAGCGACAGAGCCCGAAACCTGCACGAACAGCTCTCTCCTCAGGAGTGAGCGGGGCGTCCACCGGCAAATCCCCCTGACGCAGACGCTCCACCAGGGCCGCTCGCTCGCCCTCTGCCACATACCGCTCGTAGTATTCGTGCTCGGCCTCGTAGTGGCGCCTGACGTCGCGTTCGCGGGTAGCTACGACGAGGCGGCGACAGACCAGGCACAGGGCCCCGTCGCCATCCGGAGGCTCCACCACCAAGTAACGCTGTGTCCACTCAGGCCGGAAAACTACAGATTCCTCGACTTCCATCTTGCTTCTTTTGGGCATCATCCACATTCTGCAGGAGGCCGCAAGGGCAGGGCCAACCTCTTACAGGCCTCAAGGAGAGGGGAGGACCCGGAGCAACGCCAAGCACCTCCTCAGCTCTGCGCCAGATCACCTCAGCGGGGAGACACCAGCCTCCTGCTATAGTACGTTCGTTCCTATTGGCTGGAGATTTCGTATTCCGTCTAGTTCCTAGGAACTAACCAATAGGAGGAACGGACAGTGATCCCTAGCGCAAGCGCATATGCTACGAGCTAGTGAGCTTCTGCCGCTTCAGGGAGGGACGAAAAGACACAGGAAACCACGGACTTAAGAAACTTGACTGGCATTCAGGTTGTCCAATCAATGGCTGCCGCTGGAGGGTGAGGCAGAATGGCGTGTGCCGAGTTGAAGGAAAGACGTAAGCAGGAGGCACGGAAGTGATTGGCTGAAGGCACTTCCGGCGAGCGCCTAAACGTGACCTGCTCTCCTCTGGCGCCAAAATGTCGCTTGTGGCGGGGGTTATTCGGCGGCTCGACGAGACAGTGGTGAACCGTATCGCGGCAGGGGAAGTTATTCAGCGGCCGGCTAATGCCATCAAAGAGATGATTGAGAACTGGTACGGAGGGAATCGAGCTTGGCTCCCTTAAAGGCTACAACTTAACGGGCCGTTCCTCTGAATGGCACGGACACGCCTCTCTGCCTTGGGCGGAGGAGTGTACGGCGCATGCCCACAGCGGTGGAGGCCGCGGCGTCTCTGGACGCGCGCCAGTCCCTCCTTCTTTTCCGGGTACAGCGTGTTTTTTGAACGCTCTCGCGATACCTTTGTAGGGTTGTTTGGGGCGCAGGTAGAGGAATGTACTTAGTATTGTTGGAATGGTACCGTTAATTAAAGAGGTTATTCAATTTAAAGTTATATATGCAGAAGATGCAAAATTAAAGAAATATAAAGGTTTATGGCAGGGGAATCTTCTGTCGGAGAATAATACCATGTCATCAGTTTCTTGTTTATCATTCATTCCAGAAATCGTTGTACACATTTAAGGGCCCAATTCCTTTTGAGTTTCATTCAAAAATCAATCGTCGGAGTTTTAGAACAGGCTGATGGACTTTGAGCAAACTTGTGATTCCCCTATTGCCAAAATAATGATCCCACCTAGTGTTTTCCTGCCCTTTACATTTTCGGGGAGCTTTTGGGGCATCCGTAGATACTGAAGCTTAGAACTGTCACAGTGTAGAAGGAAGAGGTTAAAGACATGTGGAAAGAAAGGTGGATGTGAGCTGTAAATATCAAAAAAGACAGATGCCCATAATGTGCCCAAACGTTGTCACGTCCTTTGTGTTAAAATCAACTGATGTTGGTGAAGTCTGTACCGTACATTGATCCACTAAAAGAACAGTGGATCGGAAGGGACGACTGAGGGAAAGAAAGAGAGAGTTAGAAGGCAGACAAAAGAAGGAGCAGGGAATCTGGAGACTTTTTTTCTTTTGACTTTAGTAGTAGTAATAGAAGTAGTGGTAGAAGGAGGAGGAGGCTGGCTTTTGTTTCTACAATGTTAGAATGAACTGACAGAACAACTTGGGCCTATTATTGTACTATACCAGAATACTGTACCACAAAATTTAACATAGTAACTCAGAGGCTTATAATTAATCCTAATGCATTTATATAATTAAATACAAAATGTAGGGCCCCATCATCAATATCAATTACATTCTACAGTATAGGGAGTTCCTAATCATCTGTGCTTGGCTTATCTGTGTTCCTGATGTGTGATCTGCTGGTACCAGAGATTTTCTATGGAGTTCAATTATGCTTTTTATAATACATAAGTTGAGATGGCTAATACAGCTTCAGTACAGAGGCTCCTGAGAAAGTTCTTTAATATTTAAATAACTTATTATCTTATTTCTGAGTAAAGAATTTTCTGTGTAGGGAATCAATAGCTTCTCTTTGTAATGCAGCCCAGGCTGAATTTGTTTTCCCTAGCAGATGCACTATGGTTGAAGGTTACTCTTCAACCGTAATTTTTATTGTTGAAGAATTTTTAATTTGAAAAAAATTTCAAATGTTTATTGGCTTCTTAAAGAAATTTCTGCATTACTATTTTTTTCTTTCCTCCATCATAAATATATTTTCTTATAGGAAATAGTAGAGAAAAACACTTATAATTTTTGCTTTTTAAAATGACATCTTATTTGAGTCACTTAGAAACCTGAGGTTGAATAAGGTTGAAGCGACTGTAAGATTAGTAAAGAGGCATATGCTAAAAGCATCCTACTTCTAACTTCACTTTCTTTCTTTCTGAGAGGAGTAGAAATAGTGCTTTATGCCCTACTGGAATGGTGGTTGCTCTGTCCCTCTCTTCCTTCTCTCTCACACAATATGTAAATTCATACAGTGTAGTCATTGAGGCTGTAAGACAAAGGAAAAACACATTAATCAGGCACTCTTGTATTTATTCGAGTTTGTTATTACTGCTTGGCTCATATTAAAATATGTGCATTAGAGTAGTTGCAGACTGATGAGTTATTTTCTCTGTTTGATTTGCCAGTTTAGATGCAAAATCCACTAGTGTTCAAGTGGTTGTTAAAGAGGGAGGCCTGAAGTTGATTCAGATCCAAGACAATGGCACTGGAATCAGGGTAAGTAAAATCTCAGAGGAGCAGGGTATGTATGTGCTTCCTGTGATACCTCTGCAGGAAGAGGTAAAAAACTTTTCCCTGTTCTGGAAACTAGGGTTTTGCAGATGGGTTTTTTGATAGAAATCCTCTCTTCTGGTGCTTACATTGTAGTGGTGGGGGACAAACAGTAAACATACAGGTACAGTAAATCTTATGTTAGATGACATTAAGTGCTATGGAGAAAATGAAAGTAGCGAGGAGGATAGGAGTGGAAGAGTGGGGAGGGACACAGTTTGAATTGAATGATTCAGGAAGGCTTTGAAATGGATGTGATATTTGAGGAGAGATCTGCCGGAGGCCAAGGAGCAAGTCATGAGGCTGTTTAAAAGATGAGTGGTCTGGGCAGAGAGAGCAATGTATGCAAAGGCCGTGAAATGGAAGCATGCCTGACATGTTTAAGGACCAGCAAAGAGGCCAGCGTGTCCAGAGCAGGGTGAGCAAGGGAAGAGTAACAGGAGCTAAGGTGTGAGAGAGAATGTGGACGTGGTGGGCCATGGTAAAACCTTTGGCTTTTCCCTGAATGTGCTGGGATACTATTAGAGGGTTTTAAGCAAAGAGGTTACATGGTTTGGTGAGTTTTACAAAAAATCCTTTGTCTTCTCTGTGGAAAATAGACTACAGAAGAACATAGCAGAAAATAGTGAGGAGGCTCTTGAAGCAATCCAGGAGGAGGTGACAGTGCATTGGGCCAGTTTGGTCACAGTAGAGATGTAAGAAGCAGTGAGATTCTGGGTTGGTTTTGAAGGCAAACCTCTCAGAATTTGCTGATGGAGGATGTGAGAGAAAGGGGAGTCAAGAATGACTTCAAAGTTTTGACCTCTAAATAGAAATGAATTGCCAGTTACTGAGATCGGAAGGACTCTGGAAAAAGCAGGTTTGGGGAAAGATCAGAAGTTCATGGGGGGCATGTTAAATTTAAGATGCCTGTTGGATGTCTGTGTGAGTCTGAAGTGCAGAGCAGAGGTTTGGAGATAAAAATTTGGGATATGTCTGCATTTTTATGGTATTAAAAGCCATGAGACTCATGTAAAAGATGCTTAATGTCATTAGTCATTAGGGAGATGCAAATAAAAACCACAATGAGATACCACTTCACACTCATTTGGATGGCTATTATAAAAAAAAAAACCCTCAAAAAACCCAGAAAATACCAAGTGTTGGTGAGAATGTAGAGAAATCGGAATGCTTGTGCACTGCTGGTGGGAATGTGAAGTAGTGTATCCGTTGGAAAGTGGTATGGTGATTCCTGAAAAAATTAAAACTAGTTGCCATATCTTCCAACAATTCCACTTCTGGGTATATACCCAAAAGAACAGGGTATATACCCAAAATAAGTGAAAGCAGGGACTCAAACAGATATTTGTACACACATAATCATAACAGCATTATGCACAATAGCCAAAAGGTGAAAGCAATCCAAGTGTCCATCAGCAGATGAATAAATAAACAAAATGTGGTACACACATAATGGGTTTTCAGAAGTTCATGGAAAGATTCATATTATCTTTTAATTCTATTTTTTCATGAACTTTTTGAAGCATCTGTGTGGGTGCACGCATGTGCACATGCACGTGTGTATACATAATAGAGTAATATTCAGCCTTAATTCGGAATGAAATTTTGATACATGCTACAACATGGATGAACTTTGAAGACATTATTTTAAGTGAAATAAGTCGGTCGCAAAAGGACAAATATTAATGATTCCTCTTATATGAGGTTCTTAGAATAGTCAAATTCACAGAGACAGAAAGTAGAAAAGATGGTTGCCCGGGGGTGGGTGGGCTGGGGCGGGAGATGGAAGTTATCATTTAATGGGTACAGAATTTCAGTTGGGGAAGATAAAAAGTTCTGATAGAATAGTCAAATTCACAGAGACAGAAAGTAGAAAAGATGGTTGCCCGGGGGTGGGTGGGCTGGGGCAGGAGATGGAAGTTATCATTTAATGGGTACAGAATTTCAGTTGGGGAAGATAAAAAGTTCTGAATATGGATGGTGGTGATGGTTGCACAACAGTGTGAATGTACTTAATGCCACTGAACTGTACAGTTAAAAATGGTTAAGATGGAAAATTTTATGTTGTGTATATTTTACTACAAGAAAATTATCTGTAGATTTTTAATAAGGAAATTTTCTAATTAAAAAAAGCTAAGCGACTGAAAGAAATCATTAAGAGACTGAACATAGATAGAGAAGAAGTCCAAGGATGGAATTCTGGGTTACTCCAGTGTCTGGAGGTCAGGACATGAGATGGAAACAGCAAATGACGCTGAGAAGGAGCAACACCAAGACAGTGGCATATTCTGAATGCCAAGTGAGGAAGTTACTGCTAATTTAAAAACTTTTCTCCTAAGAGGAATTTCTTCCTGGATTAAATCATAAAAGTGAAAATTCAAAAAGATTTGGAAAAATGAGTAACATAATTATTTACTCATTTTTTGGTAATTTCTAGAAAGAAGATCTGGATATTGTGTGTGAGAGGTTCACTACAAGTAAATTGCAGTCCTTTGAGGATTTAACCAGTATTTCTACCTATGGCTTTCGGGGTGAGGTAAGCTAAAGATTAAAGAAATGTGTAGAATATCCTCCTGTGAGGACATTGCCATTTGTCAGCATATATTTCTCAACAGAGGTAAGTAAGATTTGATACTTTTTCAATTGTTAAATATATGCAAGATTGAACAAAACTTAATTATCTTTAACTTTCCAGTGCTGAGAATTATTCATAAATACTTAATACACCATAACTATTTTACCTACAGAGAACCTGGATATTATATATTTCTTGATGGAAGTACCCAACACCACCTGTGAGGTTTTCTTGATTAAAAAAATCAAATGTGAATCTGATCATTACTTAGATCTAAGTACCAATATATGTAAAATATAGGGGACAAGTGCTAAATGATACTGAGGTTGGGAAACTACATGACAAAAGACTTGTTTCCTTCAAGAAATAAACTGTAAGAGTAAAAAGAAAAGAGTAGAGATGGGAGCAAGAACCAATAGATTTTAAAATAGATTTAAGAGGCATGTAAACCAGCTCCAACGTGTAGATCTTACCTAGATGCTCTTTTAAGAAAACTGTAATTTTTGAGACAGAGATATTTGAACACAGATTGGTTACTTAATGATATTAAAGATAAATTTTTACTAATTTTCATGGCATAAAAGTATTACCGTGAGTTTTTTTGTGGTGTTTATCTGTTAAGATACATACTGAAATATTTGTGGATGAAACTATATGATGTGTCATAGGAATATACAAGGGTAACTCAAAAAGTTTGTGAAAAAATGGAATTGAACGATAACACAGAACTTTCCATGAACTTTTTGAAGACCCCTCATATGATATAGAAAAATAAATAAAAATATTTTAAGACTGAAATAGGAGCTTATATTTTTATTGTTTAATTCCTTACGGATTCTTTTCATCCAGTAAATACAGGCCTACATAGTGTTTAATGGCTACATTCTATTACATGTATGTACTATAATTTGTTTAAATGGTTTCCTGTTGAACATTTATGTTCTTTGCCCTTTTCTTCCTGTTTAAGGCTCTGATGAATATTCTCGTACAGATACTGTGTTTCGTTTAATTAGTTCCGTAGGATAAATTAATTGAAATAGCATTTCTAGGTAAAAATACGCATATTTTAAAAATTGTATTAGTTTCCTCTTGCTGCCCCCCCAAATTCCCACAAACTTAGTGGTGTAAAACAACACTAACTTATTATCTTATAGTTCTGGATGTCAGAAGACATAGGTCTCACTGGGCCTCACTGGACTAAAATCAAGGTTTTGGCAGGGCTATGTTCCTTTCTGGAAGCTCTCAGGGACTAGAGAAACTGTTTAGAGTAGTAGTTATTTTGGGGGAATGAGAGTAAAGGTGGGGGAGGGGATAGGAGCCTATTTTCATTTTAGGCCTTCCTGTAGTTTTTGAATTGTTCATCATGTGCATGTATTACTTTTATTTAATTAAAAAAAAATTAAAAGCTCCTGTGACCCAGTCTTTGTAATTTAGATCAATTTAGATCAAACCAGGGTGGTCTCAAGCACCTTCTTGCTCATAGTGACCCTTGAATTGTCTCAGTTAGTAACAGTTTCCAAGAGACAGTTAGCCCTGTTGCCCCTGATTTTAAGTATGCCTCAGGTCAAGTTCTAGGAACACAGTTTTATTCTGGCTTGGCAACTCCCTGGGTCAGTTTCCAAGCCCATGGCTTCTTGGAGCCTTGGCCTTGCTGTAGGACATCTTTGGGGTTATTTTCACTGTAATTGTACAAGGAAGATTTATTGAGGGATTTCTATGTGCCAGCCATGGCTCTCAGCACTTTATGTATATTAATTCTTACTCCTGACAATAACCCTACACAGTGGGTTCTGCTATTACCCTGTTTTACATGAGGAAACTGAGAGATTAAGAAACATGGCCAGGTCATACAACTAGAAAGTGGCAGAGTGGGGAATTAATCCCAGGCAGTTTGATTCCAGTCTGTGCACCTGTACACTTGCCCTACTGCCAGTGAAAAGGCCCCTAAAGCAGGAGAACCATCTCCCATGCCATATATAGGTGGCACGCTCTCTTCCTGGTGTTATGTAGTATTGTACTACTGTGCTTATTTAAGATCCTTCCTTACATAGGTCTCAAACTAATTCACAATTTTTAATGATAAAAATTAATTCAATTATATAAGCCAGGGAAATCAGCTAGGACCTGGTAATCTCTGAGTCTGAGCCATGTTCCTTTTAATGAACTGAACCTGCCACAGCTATATTTACTGTCTGCTTAGATGCTGTCACACAGGACCTGTCGTAGCACAGCTCCTGGGTTGCATCTTTACACCCCAGGACATCCTTCTTGTGGTAAAGTATACAGATTCCAGAGGGCCAAAGAACCAATCTTGGTTATAAGGGGGAGAAAAATAGGCGTAGGGTTTAAAAGTTTGTTTTGTCTCAATTGCATAATTTAAAATTTACTTTTCCAAACATATAATTGCTTAGAAAAAAACAGTTCTGAGTAAAAGTATACAGAATTATTTGGAGTGATTCCCTTATTCATTTCTGAAGGCAGGTTTTAAAATTATTGGAAGATGCATCATTCAGAATATTTTTAAAATGCCTGTAGTTCTACTACGTGAACACAATTGCTATTAACACATTAATGCTTTGATGTGTTTCCTTTTGGACTTTTTTATATATATTTTTCCCTTTGTCTAATAATTGTGCTACAGATTTTCTTTCAGTCCATTTCCTTTTCTGCCTTAGGCTTTAGCCAGCATAAGCCATGTGGCTCATGTTACTATTACAACCAAAACAGCTGATGGAAAGTGCGCATACAGGTATAGTGCTGACCTCTTTTACTCTATGTATTCACCCTGAAATGTACTTTTTACTTGTATCTCAAAGTAAGTTCTGTCTAAACACCAGCATTATGGGTTTTTTGGCTGAGATCTTGGGTAAGTTTTCTTTCTTCCCAATGGATAAATTGATGATCCACAGGGATGATTATTAGGCGGTACTTTTACTTCATAGATTCTTAAAAGGTAAGATATAACATGTTACAAGTGTCTAGCAAGGCGTCCATTCCACATAGGTATTCTAAGCAAATGGTAGCTGCTAATATTATTTCTGCCCCTTTGCCCTTCAGTGGGTTGTGGCTTTACGCTGATTACAGGGCTGTGGCTGGGATTACAGTTCCTTAGCTGGCTCTTGAGCCACCTGTGCATACCTGAGCTGGCTTGCCTTCCCAGGAGTGACTGCAGGGTGTCTGTTGTGCTGGCACAATTTTCAGAGGCTAATGAATGATCTTGGAACAGAACAAAAATGGGATTTTTTTTTTTAAACCTTTGTTTTTATCATCACTGGCCATTCACTAGTTGAAGACAGGTAGGAGTACCTAATTCATGCCAAAAAAGAAAATTTTCTTTTAAATTATACAGATTGTTTGTAAATTAAAATAGAAAATAGCTTCAACAAAGGGCAGTTCTGCCTGTTTCTGGTTGTTTTCAACAGACAACTATGTGAAGTAATGGAAGGTGTAGCATTTCAGAGTATGCAAAATTGATGCTAGCAGAGTGCGAATTCTAAGTGCCCTTGGATCTGGTTGGGCTGATATGATTAGATCCCCTCTCACAAACTGGGGAGACAGGAGCGTATTAATGTCTTCCTAGATAGCCTGGTGTACAAGTCCTCTTTCACAAATCCCCCTTCTTGACCTCTGGGGTCCTGTTTATGCCCCTACCTGAGACCTCTGGTGGTTCCCCTTCTGTGGTAGGATGAAATCCAGAGTCACCGTCTTGTCAGCCAGTGCCCTCACCTTGTCAGTCCACCTTTCCAGCTTCTTTTCTCCACACATTCCCAGCTGCCATGTATCCTAAAGCTTCTGTGCTTTTGTTTATGTTTTTCCTTTCCTGGAAAGTCTTTCCTGCTGTCTCGACCTGAAACTATTCCCTGAAGCGCAGATGAGTTATCATCTCTCCTGTGATGTCTTCACCCACCCTCAGTCCCACCCTAGGCTACATAGATGCTTCTCTAGATCACTTAGCACATTGTTCTGCACTTAGGTAAAAGTCTATCCCCTCAATAGATCAAGAGGTTTCCAAGACCTTCTTTATTACTAATGTTTCCGCAAGCCTGACATAACGTTTGCTCCTCAATAAATGATTGCAAAATTACTGAAAAATTTTACTGTCGTCTTAGGCAATAGCAAAACTATTGTTTGGTAGCTCAGAACTCAGCAACTGAAAAGCAACAATTGCTAGAACAGGGAACATTTTTTATCCAATTAGAATGATAATGGAAGTAGTAGGAAAATGGTAAGAAATGAAAATGATGTATAACATGACTATTTTCATCTGTTGTTGGTATAATTTTCTTTTTTACCCTTTAGGTTAGTGTCTATCTCTGTTTCTATTGGATATTCATAATCCCTTATATTCTCTGATTAGAGCAAGTTACTCAGATGGAAAACTGAAAGCTCCTCCTAAACCATGTGCAGGCAATCAAGGGACCCAGATCACGGTAAGAATGGTGCATGGGAGTGTATATTGTTGAAAGAGCTTGTATAAATATTGAAATGAAAAATAAGGGCTGGCCAGTTAGCTCAGTTGGTTAGAGCATGGTGTTGATAACACCAAGGTCAAGGGTTAGCATCCCTGTACTGGCCAGCTGCTAAAAAAAAAAGCAAAAAAATAAAAAATAAAATTGTCTCTGAATTTTCAGGGTAATAATAAAATGAATTTTTCCTAGTAATAGAAGCCCCGGGTATCACCCTCTAACCAAGAAAAATGATTATTGGCTTTTGTGGCATGGGAGCCTGCCCACCCTCTTGTACTTTTTAAGGGACTAGGAGATTCTTTACTGGTATGGCAGAAATCAGTGGCAGGATAGTTGGCAGTGAAAGAACATTAAGTTTGGCTTCAGAAGATGTGGGTTAGAGTTTTAGCCTTGTTACTCAATTGTTGTGTATCCAGAGGCAAGTCATTTAACATCCCTTACCCTCAGTTTTCTCATCTATCAAATGGAACAGAGAATGCCTGCCCACCTGCCTTAAAGAGTGTTTGGTGAGTCATATGACTGTCATTAGTCAGGAGGAAGTCTGTCATGCTGCCTTATTTCTATAGTGCATCCCTTGGTTTCTCTTCATTCTGTGATCCCACAAAGCACCCTATTGTCATGTGATGCATCCCACCCCTCCAACCCCAGCCCTGCTAGAGCATATCTTTTTTTAAGGCCACTCTAAACTGTCTAACCCTCGGACATGATGAGGCAGGCAGGAGGCAGAAATGAATGTGTGCTTCGTAGTGCATGTTAAGAGGAATCCTGTACCAGGATTCATGTGCTCTCCTGAGCAAGACTGGGCTTTGTCTTCATATTTTTAGCACAAACCAAAAATATTGACATAGAGATATCCCCCAGTACATACTTGAGAAATAAATGAAGGAATATGGAAGGCAGGAAAAATATCTTATAATTTTTTTGTGAATGCCGCTCTATCCCTTGCCTCCTCCCCCCAGTCAGTGCTTAGAATGTGCTGTTGGTAAATATAATTGTATTCACTATCTTAAGAACCAGCTTTAGGTGAACAACTTGGGTCTTTATTTCCATGTACTTCTATGAATTTACAAGAAAAATCAATCTTCTATTCAGGTGGAAGACCTTTTTTACAACATAGCCACAAGGAGGAAAGCTTTAAAAAATCCAAGTGAAGAGTATGGGAAAATTTTGGAAGTTGTTGGCAGGTACAGTCCAAAATCTGGGAGTGGGTCTCTGAGATTTGTCACCAAAGGAATGGGTTCCAGTGCTTATAAATTGAGAACATTTGCTGAGCTAGATGGCAAACAGCAACACTAGCCTACCAATTGCTTCTGGATGAGGTTTAGTCTACCAGTTCTGGGCTTTTTCTCAGACTTCCCAGGAAAGAGCAGTTGGTTTTTATGTCAATGATAGTTCTTTGGTGGTATGCAAAACCCACTTGAGCTGAAAAGAAATTTATTGGGAGGCTAGGAATTACTCACCACATGGGAAGAGGTGTGGACAGCTGCTCCTTGGAGAGAACAAGAACCAGGGTTGCTTCAGGGATTTAATGTCATGATTCTGTTCCAATTGTTTTTATTCTTTTCCTGACTGCTTTAGAGCCTGTTTCCTCCAAGAGTGCATCTGATTGGCATAGCTTAGGTCACATGACAATGTACCCACATCTTTGGGGAGATTTCTTGATTGGCAGTCTTACTAAAGGTACATCAAGTGGAATGGGAAAGAGGTAGTAGTTTCCCAAAGGAAGATTAGAGGCTGTTATCAGAAGGAGGAGGGGGGATTCAGGGCAGATGAAAACAACATTATGTCCATGATAGATTTAATTCACTGCTACAAATGGCTCCAGCATGGGCTCTCTGAACCCATGTGTCCTTGAATTGTAATAGAGATGGGTTAATGTGTCAGTGTTTCTAAAAAAATCTAAAATGAATCAAACATTTGCCTGTAATAAAATGGCTTATATGTCAAGTTTTTTGTTTTTCCCTGAAATTGTATAAATCAGTGTTGGAATATTCATTATCTCCTGAAAATAAAGGAGATCAGCTGTTTTGGTTATAGGTGTGGTAAAGTGAAATATTGTTGTTTAATGAATGCATTTTGCTAGATACAATCTTTCAGTTCATGGGGCCCATGAAAGGGGAGTAATAAATAATGACTAATGAAGAAAAGGCTGAGAGATACTGGAACAGAACCTAGGGGCAATGAAGAAGCTGACAAAGGTGGTGTATTTGAGGGCTCAGAGAGAGAATAAAAGTGTGCAGGCGTTGTTAAAGCTAGGTTCTCCAGATGTTCTTGAGGCAACCCAGACCTTTTGAGGCTCTGTGAAAATAAAACTGCAGGTGAAGAAAAGATTGTGGTAAGATATCCTTGAGTCTAGTAAGCAACCTATAAAAGCAGGCAGGAACCCTGTGTTTTGTTTGAATCAGTCACATTTAGCAGTGATATCTCCATAAAGTCTCTGCTGGTTTGTTTTCCTGTGGGTAAAGTAGGATATATCGAGATGGTTTTGTATGTACATATGTTTGTTTAGGTCGTTCAACTCCACCAATTTATTTAATTAAACGGGGGCTCTGACATCTGTTGTGCGTTTGGCCACTCATTGCTTACTCTTTTATCTTGTTTTTCTTTTCTAGATATTCAATCCACAATTCAGGCATTAGTTTCTCAGTTAAAAAAGTAAGTTCTTCATTCATGGGGAATAGTATGTTATGAAAAGAAAAAAGGGGATTTTTAATAGTTTGCCTGTGGAGATAAGGATATGTTTCAGTTACAACCATGGCACAGTAAATCATTTGTATCTTCTGTACGGTTTGTTTTTCAGCAAGGCGAGACAGTAGCTGACATTAGAACTCTACCTGGTGCCACAACTGTGGACAATATTCGCTCTATCTTTGGAAATGCTGTTAGTCGGTATGTTGATAACATATATATAAAAAAAGCTTTTGCATTCCTTTTCTTGGTTTATCATTCTATCACTTATTGTGGAATCTGTCAAGATAGTACCTGCCTTAAGAGTTTGCTTTAGTCAAATATGCAGGCTTGTTTTCATGCTTCAGATTTGTTAGTGGAGTCAGTATTTTTTGTAATCAACATTTGCTGGGAGTGTGTTGTCTCCTAGATGCTGTCATTGTAAATCAGTATATTCTTTCTAGGTCTTTGTCTTCAAAATATTTATAGTGTAGTAGAATTCTGTCATACTCCAGTGCTCCCTCTTTTCCTTGCATTTTCTTCTTTTTTTTGTCTTTTTCGTGACGGGTAAGGGGATCGCAACCCTTGGTGTGGTGTCGTCCGCACCGAGCTCAGCCAGTGAGCGCACCGGCCAGTCCTATATAGGATCCGAACCCGCGGCGGGAGCGTCGCTGCGCTCCCAGCGCCGCACTCTCCCGAGTGCGCCACAGGGCTGGCCTTTTTCCTTGCATTTTCATTATCGTCGCTTTAGGATTTCATTTATTTATCATTCAGCATTTATTAATTGCCTCCCATATTCCAGGCTTAGTACCAGAAGTTAAGGATGTAAAGACAGATAAAATATTTCCTGCCTTCAAAGACTAGATTTGCAAGTGCCACCAAATCTTCATTGTTAAGGAAAGCGTAAGAGGGGAAATTGCTTGCATTATAGATTCCCTCATGGTGCATCCCCTCTGCATGTAAAATCACCATTTCCATCACATATTCCTAACTAAACCTCAGGACTTTACAAAGCCCAACATGCCTATGTCACATTCTGAGAGGAAAAATACTGAGATCCTTCCATATATCAGGCATGCACCAGATTCTGTAAATACACAGACGAATAAGATAGCCTCTGATTTCACTTTTCCCAAAAATCTTCAGCAGCAGCAGTCATCCCAGAACCCAGTTTTCTACTTTGAAGGACAAATTATTTATTCTTTGAGCTAAACCAAGTTCCTAACTAATTAACAACTAATTTGCTTTTCATTACCCTTTTCTTTCTGTTAATGAATTAACTTTTTTTAAAAAAAATAACCGTGCTCCCAGAGCAAGGGGAGAGCTCTGTTCTACAGTATAACAACTTTTAAGAACTTCTTGACTAAATTTTAAGACTCAGAATTTGTTGTTGTGGAATTCCTAGGGACTATAAGAAATTAGAAATCCCTTGGAGCAGCATTTCCCAAAGCAGGTTTCCAGAATACTGGCCTCTTGAGACATTTGGGATAGAAGGGTTTGCTGGTTCAGGGTGTGTGGGAAACTGCAGCTTGCACCCTCCAGTCAGAGACTCACAGCATATACTGCTGCGTTAAAAGCTTCTGCCATCCATTCAGCAAACCCTTATTAAGTGCTATTTACTGGGTGTTGTGCTATGTGATGGGGATATAGTAGTGAACAGAGCAGAAATTATTCTCGCCCTCAGAGAACTTTCTAGATACGCATGAAATAATTATCCCATTCTTTAGCCGATTGTGCTAGATGCCTCAAAGGGAAAATAAAGGCCATGATGGGAGAATCTCTGGGGCAAAGAAAGGGATAATCAGAGAAGGCTCTTTGAAGAAATAGTCCTTGAGATATGAGGGATAAATAGGAATTAGCCAGCTGCTAGTAGGTTAGAAGTAGAGTTTTCCAGAGGGACCAGTGCTTGGGAAGGCCTTCAGGCAGAAATAAGTGTGGCTTGTCTGAGGCCCTCTTTTTCACCTATTTACCTTCCCTCCCCAGTAAACGCACTCTGGGGAACAACACACTGAGAGTACATTGTGCCGTTCAGTATAGTAAGGAATTCAGCAGGGATGAGTTCTTTTTGGACTCTCATCTTGGGGATTTAGTTACTAAGGTACATAAAAGTTTCAGCAAAATAAGGTTTCAGAGCTTGGACTCATTGTTTTATCCCAGCAAGTACAGTAGTGCCTGGCACATACAATAAGTGCTTCAAAACATGGACGGATGAATGGACAGACGGACAGATGGATGGATGGATGGATAGGTGAGCCCAGAGGTCCTCAATGAACCAAGTGTCTAGGGTCCTCATTTGAAGTTAATGGGAAGGAGTCCTGTGTTTTCTAATTCTGATTCTTTTGTAATGTTTAGAGTTTTCCAGTGTTTTCATAAGCCTCAAAATTTTTTTTTTTAACCAGAGAACTGATAGAAGTTGGTTGTGAGGATAAAACCCTAGCCTTCAAAATGAATGGCTACGTATCCAATGCAAACTACTCAGTGAAGAAGTGCATCTTCTTACTCTTCATCAACCGTAAGTGAAAAATAACCAAATGGGGAAGTCCATCCACAGGGAATTTTATGGGACCATTGAAAAATTCCTAATACACAGGTTTGATTATACTCAAGGAAAACTGCCAAAGTTTGGTTTGGTTAGGAAGCATTTTTAAGTTTTGCTTAGTCCTTCGATGCTGGCTGTCATAGAGTCTGGTTCTTACCTGTAAGAGGGAGCCCAGGAGAGGGTGTCACAGGTCTTTGTGAGCCAGCTCACTTTCCTTACCTGCTGGGATCGGAACCTTTACAAGCAGGCCCTAGGCAGAGCTTTGTTCTGCCCTTAGACCAAGGGTCACCGTTTGAAATTGCACCACAAGACACAGAAAAAGGGGTACCTTCGATATAGGCACTGTCATTAAAGAAATTTAATGCTAAGCCCCTTGAGATTTTTAAAGAATGAGGTTTATGATACAAAGAGCAGTTCTAGAAATCAGGGAGGAAATTAACTAAATGACTTCGGATTTTTCTCAGATTTCTTTCTAGTCCTTATCTCTCTGCTAACATATAGCTTACCTGACTGTTACTTACTAAATAAATACTATTCTACATTCTGCTTCTTATAATTTAATCATATATTACAAGGTTTTGATACTTACAGAGCAACAACAAATAATCCCAAACACAGTCTGACTCAGTTTTTCGTTTTGCATCAAGAAACAAGATGCATCTTTCCGTGTGTTCAGTTTTCATTATTTTGTTCTTGTAGGTCCTTCACCTGTATTGTTTTAAAACACTTCATAGTAATTTTATAGTTTTTGTTTTGTTTGTTATTGGAAATGACATATCTCCCCCTTCCATTTACAGCAGTAACTGGTTATAAATGTCTCATGTTTCCCAGCAGTTGTTCAAAGCAATACAGGAACAGTGAGGAGAGACCCAATCATTTTATAGACACACTCTGTTAAACTGATTTATATTAGCAGGGTTTTCCCCTATTTCATTAGAAAGGACTTTAGCCTGATATATAACATAGGTTGTTTTAATCAAGGCTCAGAAAATGTTTTTCATTAGTTTTTTCATAACCATGAAGAACTGCTTTATAACACACATGCTGGCTACAGAGTAGAAAAGCAAGAATCAGTGTAAGTGCTATCTGACTGGCCTATGTCCATGTCTCTTTTGGGGCTGCTTACCACACAGTCTGTGCATTACCATTAGCTAATCTGTTCACATTGTCAAGTTCCCAGGAGCAAAGAGGGGTCAGACCCTCTGGCATGCCATTCAGTTATTTATAGCCTGTGCACTCACTCAGGTGGCAGGGGCAAAGAACACTCCTTTGGCATGTCTCAAGATCAGGAATCTCAGCAGAGGGTTTCCAGCTGACCTTTTATTAGGTGCCCACACCTGCCTCAGGCCTATGTTTTCAGGACACGTGTTACAGAGTACAGTGCCATTATCGAAGGGGCCATGGGTGTGGTGAGTAGCCAAAGAGTAATAGTCTCCTCATTGATAAGATCGTGGCCACTCTTCTCAATAGAAATAAAAAGATGTGCATATCCTTGGCTACAGTGACACAAGACTACAGATTATCAGCAGGTTATCTAAAATCTGGGGAGAAAGGAGAGCTATGTTTTCTGAAAATAGATTTTTCTCTGATTTTAGTCTTATTTCTCCCAGGCTTTATTGTTTTCTACCCCCTCTAAACCTGCCTCATTTCCTAAATTACCTTAAGCACACATTCAGACATTTGTACTGCCTGATATTCTGGAAAACTCATCCTTATCTTTCATTCCTCAGTATGGATATCCATCACTGTCAGAACTTCCTGAGCAGAATTAGCTGCTCCTTCGTCTCACCATTGAGCACACACATCTCTATAATAGTGCTGACCACTTGGGGTTGGGATTATTATTCACCAGCGTGTTGTCTCCTAGCACTTGGCACGTGTGACAGGTAGCCAGTATGTATCTGCAGAATGAAAAGTTTCAGAGCTGACATCCTACTACCCACTGTGCCCAGCAAGGACAAAGCTAGTCCACATTGGCTGATCGAGGCAATAGGAGGTGGGGAGGCATAATTTATTGACCTAGCATGTTTTCTGCTACTTGGCTGAGAGAAGAGAGTCCCAAGCCCATAGTGAGATGTCTGGAAGTGGTGACAGGTAAAGGGGACCCTTTCTTCCTGGGGATCTGATGTGGATCTCACTCTGGAGATGTTCTTCCTAAGGTGATTTCATGGCTTTTTATGAATGTGTACCTGTAACCTCATCCCTCAGGACAGTTTTGAGCTGGTTACTGTCCTTTTATTTTTTCAGATCGTCTGGTAGAATCGACTTCCTTGAGAAAAGCCATAGAAACGGTGTATGCAGCATATTTGCCCAAAAACACACACCCATTCCTGTACCTCAGGTAATGCAGTACCACACTTCTCACCCAAGACTCACAAGGGACAGGAATTCAATCATGCTCTCCTCTTTGAAAGAGGTGGGCTTGCTAATAGCCCAGTCAGAGTGAATCCCATACACTGCTGGCAAACAGGTAAAAGGTAGTTTTTCTTCTTTTATTCACTAATGTAGCAGAACCCCATTGAGAGCCAACCGTGTGGCATGCAATACAAAGGTGAATAACATGTCTCACCCCTTTGAGAGGGGTCAACAGCTTGTGGATGGAGTAGAGACATAGCTGTGCTCAGGAGGTGAATATTACTTCTTTCAGGGCTAATCCTAGAAGCCGAAACAGCTACAGTTTTCTATCCATGAAAGACAATCTTCTGCTCTGTGGAGATTCTTATCTTAGCCTGTCTACTGTTGATTGCCCAGAGGTTCACTTAAATAATTTAGCAATCATATTTTAGCAGTCAAAAATAATTTAGTACTTGCATTATACAGACCAAATCCCATAGTTGGTGTTTGAAACACAAAATAAATGTGAGGTACCTTTACCCTAAAGGAATTTACAGTCTCAGAGCTGATTTATGGAGGATCTTTTCCATTGTTTCTTGCTCTGCTATTGGCTTTTCTATTTCACAACCTTAGCATTTTTATCACAGCATGAAGAAAGATCACTTTTAGTAACAGGGCTATATTTGTACAGGGCACAGTTCAGACCAAAATGTCTTTAATCTGAAATATTTGCCCTCTGAATAGAAATTGTGTTAGAAAGAAAATTAATTTCTTTTGTTCTAGTTCTGATTGAAATAGCGGGATAGAAATTGTGGTTAAAAGTATATTTTAGATTAAATGTAGAATTGTTGACTCCCTCATGTTTTTCTTTGCTTGGTAATAAACTGGTCAATTTATCACCTTGGTTCATCTCTATATTTGTCAGAGTCCAAACAGGAGATAGAAACCATACTGCAATTTGAGCAGGGAAAGTTTAACATAAAGAATTCCAAACAGGAGATTAGAGTAATAGGGGATTGGATAGTAAGAGGTGAGGAGGCAGGAATAGCAGGTATAGAGAGTAGCCATTACCCCTAGGGCTGAGATAAGGTCCCCTCACATACACACACACTGCCCACCCCCCAGCTGAGATGCAGACCTCGTAGAGGAGAATGCAGCTGTCTTCTGCCACCATATATACCATGTTTGGATTCCCCTCCACCATCCCCCACTGTCTGAGGTAATTTTTTTTTTTCCTACCAGTTTAGAAATTAGCCCCCAGAATGTGGATGTCAATGTGCACCCCACAAAGCATGAAGTTCACTTCCTGCATGAGGAGAGTATCCTCGAGCGGGTGCAGCAGCATGTTGAGAGCAAGCTCCTTGGCTCCAACTCCTCCAGGATGTACTTCACCCAGGTGAGAGCGCATCTCACCCCACTGATGTCTTTGCCACTTCAAAATGTGCCCTGTCAGACATGAGAGCCCAGATTTTTGCCTTTTGCTTTAGCACTTTCTTTGCAAGTACAGTGTGACTTTCATAGTTTTCTTTTAGTAACAATTCCTTCTCTGAATCTAATTGTAAAGGAATCATGCTGTTGTCCCTGGGCCTGAGGTCATAAGGCCTGAGTTCTCTTCCTCACTTTCCCTCCGTCTGGGACCTTAAACCAACTTCCTAGGAAAACAAACTATCTGAAAATGGAATAGGGCACTTCTTAGTGCATTTTTCTCCACTGGAGATGTTCAGGGGGAGGCTGATGCCACCTACGCAGGGCAGAGTGGAAAGCTGTGCCCTGAAGAGGCAGTGGCAAGGGTGGAAAGAGCAGGGGCTTCAGTGTCAGTCAGCTGTGGGTCACCAGCCATGTGACTAAACTTCCCTGGCCTCCATGTCTACCTCCCTAAGGATAGAACTGATCATCCCCACATCCTAGGACAATTACAAGCAGTAGGTGAACCGTGAACACAGAGTATCTGGTACAGGGCCTGGCACCTATAATTATCTAGGTTCTAAGTGCATATTACTCTAAGTCACTTCCCTTCCCTGGAGCCTCAGTTTTCCCATCTGTAAAATAAGCAGGTGGGATACTATGCTCTCCAATGTCCCCTCCCAGTTTCCGCATTAAATTACACTGACTCCTGCAAGCAGAAAGTGGGCTTCTGTGAGACCCCACTTCACAGAAAACTTTTTAAATTACTAAGCGAATGAATGCTTCCCATAAGAACATCCACATTTGTCACCTGGAAAGAAACTAGGTGGGAGATGACATGGGCACTAAGCAGTGAGATTAAGCCCAGCTAGGACAGCCCCACCATCTCTGGAACCCATGCTCCTGATGATTGTTAGGGTAGGTTGCAACTGTGATACCTGAAAGGGGTATGTGTCAGGGGGCAGGAGGAAGTTCTGCCTGGAAACCAGCCCTCATTCCTCTATTTGATGGGCTCTTGGTCCCAACATGGGCCCCAGGTCTTATACAGGTAGCAAGTGCACAAGGCTTTGCAGTGTCCAAGGATAAGGTGAGGATATACATGCCCCCCCCCGCCATGAGGGTTAACATGTCTACTGTGGGTAAAGCTCTGGGAGCAGTATCTGATGCAGAGGAAGTGCTCAATAACAATTGGTTGGTTTTATATCTGTTGCTGCTGTTGCCCACTTAGCCTCAGCTTAACTGCTGAGAAGCCCCCTTAACTGCTTCTCTTAACTTTCCCTCCTTCCTCAAATATGCATTGAGACGCCCCAAGGAGACAAACATTGCGTTGGGTACATGGGAATGTGGTATAAATGTTCCTCCTCTCACAGAGGCGCTCATGGTCTCCTAGAGAGTACATCCAATGAGAGAGAAACAGAGACTCAGGGGAGTTTATAGGAAGGAGTCCTGTCCTGTCAGGGAAGGGAAGGAAGGGACATGGATGCTGGGACCCGAAGCCTGAATAGGAATTAGGTGGGCCAGAGGGGTGGGGGAATGAAAAGAGTGTTTCTGGCAGAGGAAGCTGCATAGATAAAGGCCTGGGTGTGCAAGAGAACTTATGTTTGAGGATCTGAACATGCAGCATGGTAGGTCTGATGTTCTCCACGCTGGCTGCCATTAGAATCAGCTGGCGAGCTTTTAGAAAATACCAATGCCTGGGCTTTCCCCATACCAATAAATCATTCTTGTGGTGGGGCCTGGCCATCAGTATTGTTTGAAAGCTTCCCAGGTGCTTTCATAGCAAGGATTAAGCAATGCTGGGCCTGAGTGTAGGCCTACTGCAGATAGCCGCAGTGGTAGAGTCGAGGTTGCAGAGTTCAGGTCAAATGGTGGGTTTTCATCGGGATATTAAAGAGTTTAGATTTTGACTTGATGGGAATCAGTGAGATCTGCTTTGCATTTTATGAAGAGCTCTCTGGCTGCAGTGTTGGAAGTGGATTGGAGAGGAGCAAGATGGAAACCCGCAGTGATTTGGAAGTGGTGAGGGGCTCAGGACACAGGCAGTAGCTCCATTCACTAATAGCTGAGAATTTCAAATTGCCAGGATCTGGAAATGGGTTGGCCGGTGGGGAATGGGAGGAGAGGCCCAAAGTGTTAGATGAAGATGGAGAGCATATTGCCCAGCCCAGAGTGATTGCCCTTCGCTTTTTTCCAGTTGAGGGCCCATGCTACAGAGCATGGAGTAAGTCTGTGGCTCCATGGAGAAATGAATCTCTCAGCTTGCCTCCTTGTCTTATCCTGGATGAGTGAGATTCATTTAATTCTGTTACATTTTATTTTCTGATAGAACTCTGCATAATCCTGACCAGTGTGTCTTCAGAAGGAAAGTGCTTTTCTGGATTAGAGGGAGTATCTCTGTCTGCTGGTGCAGTGACACCAGCCTTGCAGGCTCCTTGCTACCATGGAACATGCTGTGGGTGGTGGGGTCCAAACACAAAGTTGTCCCTGTTCCTATAGGCTGGTCAGAATACCCTCTCTCCGTACCCACAGCAGGTCACACTGGCTCCTGACATTTTGACCATGGAGCAACTGCTTCCTGCTCCCCAGTTTGTGCCTTACACTCCACTGCTTAGGGCCAGTACATCAAAAGCCCTGTTTGGCAGTGAAGCCATTTGGTATGGAAATCATGAACCGTGGGGACACGTGCAGGTTTGTTCCAACTTCATCATATTGGATAAGGTATTTCACTTTTTTGGGCTTTAAAATTACCATTTGTAAAGTAGTTATGTTAATTTCTCCTCTCAAAATCCACCTGTGGATATTGCAAAGGCAAATGAAGTAAATGCATTGCAAGGGTTTTCAATTGTCCTGGAAGAAAGGCTTTACCTTTGTGAACAGAGTTGCTACTTTAATTTTTTATCTTGACTATTTCTAAACACATATAAAAGTAGATATTATAGCACATATCCACATACCTGCAACTCACCTTCAACAACCACCACCATTTTGCCATCTTTGTTTTTTCTACTGTTCTCCCATTTGGAGATGGGGCAGGGAGTATTTTAAAGCACATTCCAGACCTTTATTTCTTCCCTACTACTTCATTATGCATCTAAAAATATTTTTTTCTTATATAACCAAAATGTCATTTTACACACAGTAAAATTAATAATAATAATATTTAATATCCAGTTCATATTCAAATGTCCCAATCATCCAAACAAGATCTTTTTATAGTAACTTTGTTCAAATCTATATCCAGTCAAGCTTCACTCGTTATATTTGGTTGTTATGTCTCCTAAATCTCTTCAAAGTGTCTTTGAAGCTCAAAGAGTCACATTTTCTGTTGTTCCCATTGGCTTATTCTACAGGTTTCCTGTAGAATAATGCAGATTTTGGATTGGCTGATTGCTCTTTCTTAGTGTCATTTAACTTGTTCTAATCCTTTATATTTCTTGTGAACTGAAGATTAGATCCAGAGTTATGATTATATTCAGATTCTGTTCCCTTTATTGCATCCCAGCAGGAGGCGCCTAATGACTTACGTCATTTTGGGGGTAAGAATTAACAGTGGGTTCAGCTGTTGACAGTGTAATTCCCTCATTGTGATGTTACCCATTAACATTTAGCTTAATGGTTTCATCATTCATTGACAACCATTATCTGAACCAGTTATTTCATTAGATTTGCAGGATTATGATTTTCTGATTTTATCATTTCTTCTGTATTAACTAATTCTTCTGTATAGAAGAATTTTCCTTCATTTGTTAGAGCTATTTGGTTATCCTGAAATGCACTTCATACTGGAAATCAAGGCCAGTGTAGTCTATCCCTCTAGTTTTCAATTTTCAGAAGAAAGAGTTGGTGTCCTAGCAATTTTCAGTAGTGTTTAATGACTTTTTCCTTTCTCTTTCTCTCTCTCCCTCTCCCTCACTTCCCACTCTTTTTCTCTTTAAGTATTTTGTCATATCTGTTAACAAAGGAACATATTTTAATCAATTATATGGTCCTTTTTCTTTCTGGTGCTCAAATTATCCCGTCTTATTTCAATGGAAGCCCCTTCAAGCTGGTGCTCTTGTCCTTTCTACCCAATTCCATTAGTCTTTGTAAGTTTCCCTGTTTCTGGCAAGACAAAATGTTACAGGCACTCTTTGTATTTTCCTAAGTCAAGCCCTGGAATTGGCCATTTTTCTAATGACCTCTTATTCATTTTAGTGGGGAATGATATTTAGAGACTATAATCTGGGATCTGGAGATCTTCATTGCTACTGGATGGTTATTGCTTTTAGGCCTTTCCAGTGGGCAGAGCTAGGGAATATGTATATTTAAAAATAGACATTAGAGTAATAGTTGCCAGGAGCTAGGAGTGGGGGAATGGGTACAGAGTTTCAATTTGGGAGGATAAAAATGTTCTGGAGATGGATGGTGGTGATATTTGCACAACAGTGTGCATGTACTTTATGCCACTGAACTCTAACTTTAAAATGGTTTAAGTGGTAAATTGTATGTTGTGTATATTTTACCACACAAAAAATAAAGTCCTCTTATGGCAGCAAAAAAAAAAAAAAAAATGGACAAAAATATGAGAACTTTATTTCATTCCAAGCTAATTTTAAGTTTATAAGGATTTTGCTTAATTCTTGAATTTTATACTTGTAAACTTTTTATTCCATACTGCAAACTTTGGTCAGAATTGCTTCTATTATAATTCTGTACTGACAAATATATCTGGCTCCAGTTTCTTTCACTAGTACTGTTCCATTTAGAACCTGCACATTTACACTTCATTTCCGAGTCTTGATACTGTTGTCTTTTTTGATACAGACTTTGCTACCAGGACTTGCTGGCCCCTCTGGAGAGGTGGTTAAATCCACAACAGATCTGACCTCATCTACTTCTGGAAGTGGCAACAAGGTCTATGCCCAACAGATGGTCCGTACAGATTCCCGGGAACAGAAGCTTGATGCATTTCTACAACCTCTGAGCAAGCCCCTATCTAGTCAGCCCCAGGCCATTGTGCCAGAGGATAAGACAGATGGTTCTAGTGGCAGGGCCAGGCAGCAAGATGAGGAGATGCTTGAACTCCCAGCCCCTGCTGAAGTGGCTGCCAAGTGTCAGAGCATGGAGGGGGATGCAACAACGGAGACTTCAGAAATATCCGAGAAGAGAGGACCCACTTCCAACCCAGGCAACCCCAGGTATGGCCTTCTGGGAAAAGTGCAGTTTGCCTTCTCCATTCTTTAATAAAACTGCCTTCTTGCTTTTGCTTTTCATGAACCACTTGCATCTCCTCTCTGCCTAACTTGCCCTCTGCCTCCACTAGGACAATGCTGTACCTTGTCACTGTCTGTCTTTGACCATGACTTGAGTCAGAGGACCACATTGTCCTCTGAAATATCTTAAATGTCCACGGTTCTAAGCATTAGTTAAAAACCCATCAGAAAAAAAGATTTATCTTTTATTTTTACTGAAGAATTTTGGTAAAGCCTCAATACCAGAGATGGCTAGAGAGAGAAGCCTAAAATATCCAGAGGATTCTCTTTCATCCTACCCAAAACTGCTTTCACTCTTCTCAGAAGAAACACACTTTCTGGTCCAACTTATAAAACTCCTTGAAGTATGTGAGCTAGCAGTGAAAGAGAGCTAGAGAAAAGGAGCAGGAACAATAATAATAAAGACTGTCATTTAATTTTGAGCATTTCCAGTGTGTCCTCTGCCAGTACTATACTATGCAGACATTATCTCAACTGACATCTGTAAAGTGGATATTCTTTATTTAACACGCACAGGTACTGAACCTGGAGCTCATGGTGAAGTCATTTGCCCAACGCTGCATGTTCACTTGTTGACTGACCACCAGAAACCCTGGCATTAATTGGACGTTTGAACTTGGACGAGTTACTTAACTCCAGTTTGCTTATTTCTGAGTCAGCTTAGCAAGACAACCTCTAAGGATTTTTTTTCCAGAGAATAATAAAGTGCTGATATTTATTGAGCATCTACTTTGTACCAGATACTTTACATACATTATCTCATTTAATGCTCTTAACAACCCTGCAGCAGAAGTAATACATGTCTTTATCACTTGGGGAACTAAGTGACATGTACCACACAGCAAAGGAATTCTTTTAAGACAGAAATGAGTTTGTATTACTCCTCTGCTGAAAACCTTTCAGTGGCTTCCCATTGCACTTGGGGTAAAACTGCAATCCCTTACCCTGCCCTCCTCCCAATGTTCCACTTTCCTCTCCCTCATGGTGCTTCTGCCACACAGCTCTTCTGGCCAACTAACCTGACTGAGCTTCATCCCCTCTAGTTGCCCTTGCTGTTCCCTCAGCATGGTAAAGCTCTGGCTTCTTGTCACTCAGGTCTCAACTCAGACATTCTTTGTCCGTGTAGTCTAAAGTTCCCTTTCCTTTCTCCTTTTCCCATTCTGTTATGTCACTTTATTTTCTTCATATCATTTATTGCTACTTAAAATGATCTTTTTTCTGTTGCTATTTGACTCTCCAACTAGAAAGTAAGCATCATGAGAGCAGCCATCTTGTCTGTTTTGTTCATTGTGGTATGTAGTTGGTATATCCATCTAATGGGTAGATAGATGGAGGGATGAATGGATGAGACTTGATAAGGTCAGTTCACTTGTTCAAGGCCCTGTAGCTCTCTAGGCTGAGCTAGACTCCAGATTCCTGCTACGTGCAGCAGTGTGGCCAGCTGCTGGGATCTGAGGGTTGTCAGATAAGCAGTGTGCCAGAGAACAGACTGATCATGGTGGCCTGCCACCAGCACAGGTATCCCTCCACAGCCGTTTTGAACCAACACAGACAAGCTGTTTCCTTATCCAAAATGCAATACACAAAAATTTGGCTGAGTTAAAAAATAAAAATAAAAAATAGTAATGAGTTGCCACTTCCTTTTCTTCATTGCAGAAAGAGACATCTGGAAGACTCTGACATCGAAATGGTGGAAGATGATTCCCGAAAGGAAATGACAGCAGCTTGTACCCCCCGGAGAAGGATCATTAACCTCACCAGTGTCTTGAGTCTCCAGGAAGAAATTAATGAGCAGGGACATGAGAGTACGTAAGTGCTGAGGTCTACCTGGGACTTCGAGGGCCTGAACCGCTAACATTAAGGTTTTGGAAATACAAAAGCATTCAGGTTGTCAGAGTGGCCACTCCAGTGTGCTGGGAAAAGCCTCTCTTTTTTTTTTTTTCCTTTTTGTCTTTTTTCGTGTCCGGCAATGGATCGCAACCCTCAGTGTCGCGCCCGTACCAGACCGGGACCTGCAACGGGATCGCAACCCTTGGTGTTGTGCCCGCACCTCGCTCAACCAGTGAGCGGGAACCGGTCTGTATGTGGGATCCGAACCCTCGGCGGGAGCGCCACCGCCCTCCCAAGCGGCGCACTGTAGCAGTGCACCACCGGGCCGGCCCGGAAAAGCCTCTCTTTACTAACCCAGAGAAGCATCAGCTTAAAGACAGTTTTCAATTTGGAGAGAAGGGAGGAAAAATAGTTTCTGTTTTATTTAGAATTAACTAGTATTCTTATTAAACCAGAAGAGTCAGAGTAAAAGCAGTCTTTTCAATAATTTTCAGTTTGTTTCTGTTTTAGATAATAGCAGTGTAATAATCAGCAAAATTCTTATCCTGTGCAATGAATGGAATGTGCTATTGCTGAAAGTACACAGGCTTTGGAGGTATAACTGAATTCAAATCCACTTCTCATGACCTAACCTATCTTTGCCTTAGTTTTTCCTCATCTATAAAATGAGATTAATCTTACCCTTGAAAATCATTGTGCTGGTTAGAGATACAATGTAAATAAAACACTTGTTGCAGAGTAAGGAGTCAGTAGGTATTTTTGTATTCTGAAGACAAAGTAATAAATCATTATGATCTTCAGAAATGGCTTTTGAGAATACCTGAGTGTAAAGCCTCATTTTGGTCTCTGATACTTCAAAATTAACTTAATGGTTTAAGGAATTAAATAATCACATAATTAAAAGGAGGGCTTGGTACCTCCCAGGGATGAACTCACACATGATTGAAGTGTGTAACAGTGAATTCACACTAATGGCAATGCTGACCCTACTTTATGAGTGACACAGAAATGCTCCAAGTACAGACATTTCCCAGGGCTCCAGTTGGCAGCTCTGCACTTGGGTCTGCATAATTTAGCCATGGTCTTTCCATTTTTTATCTATTATACTTTTTATGATTAAACTAGTTAAATTTCAACACTGTTACAAAATGTGTCTTAAAATATGATGATCTGAATGAATTTTGAAAAGGAATGAGTAAGGAGCAATTCATTACCTTTCCCACTAATCTTCAACCTTTTAAAACAGCTGCTTCTGACTCAGTGGCCTCTTGAATTTTTTCTCTAACTCAGTCACCGCTTGTTTGAGCTAACTCAGGAATGCCTCAGTTCCCCTTCCTTGTTCATTCTCGTTTCTTAGTACTCTGGGCCTTTGTTTACATGTAGAAAAAGATATGTAGGGCATCTCTACATTTGGACAGGGTTTACCCTTCCTGTGACTGAGGTTTTGCCACTTACAGAGTGGCTGCCAATTGGCTTCTGATTTTTATTTCCATGAAGATTTGCTCCAGTTGCTCTTTCTCTGTTATTAGCTTTCAAGCTGGGAGCTTTTAAAGCAATTTAAAATAATATAAGAAAGGTGGGCTGTTACTTGATTTATTTAGCAGTCTTCCTCACAGCAGTTTTATTGACAGACTCCCTCAGATTTAGAATTTACTGAGGGGCCGGCCTGGCCAGTGAGCCGCTTGGGAGTGTGGCGGCGCTCCCGCCGAGGGTTCGGATCCCATGTGGAGACCGGTTCCCGCTCACTGGCTGAGCGTGGTGTGGGCGCAACACCGAGGGTTGCGAGCCCATTGCTGGTCCCCGGTACGGGCGCGACACCGAGGGTTGCGATCCCGTTACCGGTCAGTAAAAAAGACAAAAAGGAAAAAAAAAAAAGAATTTACTGAGTTTCTTTAAGAGTTTGGTTTGTCTCCCTTAAATAGCAAAGCAGGCTATTTAAAGTTATGATTTCAATAAATTTCTGAATAGTATCAAACAGTTTTTAGTGCTATGTAAAATCAGCCTACATCAAGTTTGGTCAGGTTTGGAGTCTTGCTATGCTAAGGTGATGACTCTAAATGGTCTAAAACTGTTATTTTCATACACGCTATCTCATGTAATTATAGAATAGTTTTGTGAGGAAGGCAGAGCAGATACTGTTATCTCTATTTTAAAGATGAGGAAAATGGAATGGAAGATGGAGAAGACAGATTAGTTGGAACCCCAGCAAACAAAAACGGCCCAGATACATGCCGTGATGGTAGTGTGTTCTTCCTGGCAGTCGCTTTCATGCAGGACACCTAGCCCAATGTTTATATACAAAACCAGGTCAACAGCCTGTGCAGGACAAGCACACCAAGAAACTCGGATCCCTTAGACTGAGGCTGGTGTTGCCAGACATGCCGGTGTAGGGGCTTACAGAGGGAGTAGCTGTCTGTGATATGGCGAGTGGAGTGAGCACTTGCTTTGGAGCCAGAAGAACTCTGCTGAAGTTCCTACACCATTCACCATAGCCGATCAGAAATTTGCTCACCTTTTGGGGCATGGTTTTCCTGCTCTGTAAAATGTGCTCCTACTACAGTCTTTATTAGGCTGTTGTGATGATACATAGATATTGTTGTGTATGTTTTGTAAGCTCCAAGGCACTGTTCGAGGGGAGGGCCTCTGCCATGGACCCTGCCTGCTGGCATCTGGTTTACACCCATAGCCCCAAGCTGGGGGAAGCTGGGTGTCTTTGAGTTGGATGCTGTACAGGGATTTCTGTGAGGCTCAGATTTGGTGAGGAAGGTCACTAACTTTAACAGGCCAGCAGCCTGGCTGCTCCCTGATGGAGTTGTTCCCCTACCCTAGGAAAGAAGTAAGAGAGACTTTCCTGTAAACAGTACTCTCAGTTGCACTTATTTGTGTGGCTGTTTCATCAGTGAGTTGTCTATGCAGTTTATTGTCTGTGCAGATCTCTTGAGCTCACTGCCTTGTCCTTGGTGCCCAGCAGAGTGCCTGTCATGTGTACTCAGTAGATATTTGCTAAAGGAGTGAGTAAATGATTGAGAAGAGCAGCCTGGGAGGTGAAGCCCTAGAATCTTTATTCTAGAGGGATGTCAAAGTTGAACACTCAATCAGATAACTCTTGAGTCTCATGGAGTTACCCATTCCTGGTGAGCACACTTTCAACTAACAAATGAGGTTAATTTTGGAAGACCCAGTATCCAGTCACACGTTCTGTGCAGTCAGGCTCATTTCAGGGATTAGTAACGACTGAACTTACTTATTGCTGGTCCTATATTTTGATCTGTTAATTAATGGTAATAAGGAATGTCATAAGCTATTTGCTATCATTTGAATGTGAAAATTTGCTCAACATTTTTTGCCTCCAGATATTCACAACTTAATTTTATTTTCTCGGTCTTTGTTGAACAGTGCTACGTCTAAGTGTACATACTTTTAATATGGTTTGTCACCAGGTGACAGTTTCATTTGGCACATGAAATCAGTTCAGCAAACATTTGTTAAGTATCTTCTCTGAATGAAATGCACTGTGTCAAGTTCAGAGGTCAAAAGCAGATGAATAAGCTATGAGCCCTCCCTTAAAAAAAAAAAAAAAAAACATTGGAAAAAGACAAAAACACGGAAAAAGACAAAAAAAAAAAAAAAAAAAAAAAGGCTTTGTGGGGATTTTTTTTTTTTTTTTCCTTTTTGTCTTTTTTCGTGACCGGCAACGGATCGCAACCCTCAGTGTCGCGCCCGTACCGGACCGGGACCGGCAATGGGATTGCAACCCTCGGTGTTGCACCCGCACCTCGCTCAGCCAGTGAGCAGCCAGTCTGTATGTGGGATCCGAACCCTTGGCGGGAGCGCCGCCGCACTCCCAAGCGGCGCACTGTAGCAGTGCGCCACCAGGCCGGCCCTTGTGGGGATTGTTTAGTGAACAACTGGGTGCAATGTTAGGTAGAACGGAAAAAATTCCGTAACAGAGATAGAAGACCACCAGTTCAGCAGGAACCCAGAGAGAGATCTCCTGAGGGGGCTGAGAGGGCACCTTGATTATCCAGGCAACAGCAAAGACACTGGCATACAGGGGCTGCTGGAAGGCATCCAGAGGGGTGTGGGTCTTCTGCCCTGCCTTTACTTTAGATTTGGCTTTACTGCTGCTTAACTTGCTGCTTTGCTTGCAGAAAAGCATGCTGAGACCCAAGGCCTCGGTTATGAACTCAAATGTGTGATTTGGCTTTGAAGGAAAGAAGGATTTTGTCCCATTTTGCTGTTCACAGAATGGCAAATTTCTACAGATGTGTAGCACTATGATGATATTTAGGGTAAGAATAAAATAGAGGTCCTTCAAGTCCTGGTAAGAGGTCATGGAGAGGTCCAAGAAACCTCCAAAGCCCAGAGAAGAAAAGCCCTGTGCTTGGTGAGCAGGCGCCACTGCCCTTCCCTGTCCTGCTGGTGGGGCTGCACTTCAGCAGCTGCAGGTACGTAGGAGCAGCCCATGGACATGCTGTGTGGGAAAATGTCTGACTTTTTTTGAGTGCATTACACTGCTCTCCCTTTTCTCCGGTGCCTCAAGATTATTTGATGTTCTCCAGCTTTTAAAATAATCATTTTTCCGCCTATGCAGAACATCCTGTAGAGACATTGAGTTTCCAGTGAGAATGGAGGGAACTCTTATTCTAAAAATGAAGAAAATAAGCCTCTTTTTATCAGGGTGGGGGCTGGGGAGAGTGTTACAGAACTTATGTAACAATATGAGAATTCACTTGTGGTGCCCAGGTTTTTAAAAAAAAAGTATAGTAAAAATTATGTACAGGTTCATTGCTGTGCCCAGACCCATGCCCTATTTTCGCCCGCCCCTCTTCTCTCTCACCTGCTTTTTGGTGATAGTGTTTTTACTTCTTTCATTAAAAATACACACACACACACACACACAGAGGCAAACATATACAGATATGTTGGTAAATACAAAATCATGTTTTTAAAATATGTGTACCATCTCCTGAAAAAAACAAATGGACACTTGTGAGAACACCCACCTACTTAAGAAATAGAACATTACTATCATCTCTGAAGCTGTCACATGCTTCTTTCCTTTCCCATCCCTTTGCCGTCTCCCTTAAAGGTACCTACTACCCTAAATTTAGTGATTATTATTTCCTACCATTTATTATAGTTTTACCATCTATATTTGTATTCCTAAAAAAAATTGTTTAGTTTTAGAAGCTTTGCATTTTATATAAAAGGAATTATACTGTATTTTTCTGTAATACATATGAGGATACTTCAAAAAGTTAATGGAAAGATTTGTATTATCTTATAATTCTCTTTTTCCATGAACTTTTAGAAGTACCCTCAGGGGCTGGCCCGGTGGCGCACTGGATAGTGCGCCGCTTGGGAAGCGTGGCGGCGCTCCCGCCCGAGGGTTCGGATCCCACATACAGACCGGTTCCCGCTCACTGGCTGAGCGAGGCACGGGAGCAACACCGAGGGTTGTACCATCTATATTTGTATTCCTAAAAAAAATTGTTTAGTTTTAGAAGCTTTGCATTTTATATAAAAGGAATTATACTGTATTTTTCTGTAATACATATGAGGATACTTCAAAAAGTTAATGGAAAGATTTGTATTATCTTATAATTCTCTTTTTCCATGAACTTTTAGAAGTACCCTCAGGGGCTGGCCCGGTGGCGCACTGGATAGTGCGCCGCTTGGGAAGCGTGGCGGCGCTCCCGCCCGAGGGTTCGGATCCCACATATAGACCGGTTCCCGCTCACTGGCTGAGCGAGGCGCAGGAGCAACACCGAGGGTTGCGATCCCGTTGCCGGTCCCCGGTCCGGTACGGGGGCAACACTGAGGGTTGCGATCCGTTGCCGGACATGGAAAAAGACAAAAAAAAAAAATAGAAGTACCCTCAGACACACGCACACACATACTATTTTCCTAAGATTCATCCATCTTGTTACATAAAACTCTGGTTTACTTTTTCTGTGTAATAGATTTGAATTCATGAATACACAGTTTATTCATTCTGTTGCAGGACATTTGGAGGACTCATATGGCCTTAGTCCCTGCCTCCTCACATCCTACCCCAATTCCCAGCCATGAGTTGATCAGTGGCTTGGGACACTGGTTGGGAAGCTCTACTCTAGGAGAGTTACTGCTGGGTCATAAAATGACAAATTGTTTTCCAGAGGGGTTGTATTTATTTATACTCTCACCAACAGTGAACAGATGTTGCATTTGTTCTTTCTCTCCAATATTTGATATTGTCAGACTTTTTCCCAGTTTTGTGATTGTGAAACAGTAGCTGATGGTTTTTATTTGCATTTCCTTGGTTATCAGTAAAGTTGAGTAAGTATATTTCCTCTTCTGTTAAGTGCCTATTCAAGTTTTTTGCCCATTTCTCTGTTGGACTTTTCATCTTTTCTAACTTATTTTAAGAGTTTTTTTCATATATTCTAGATAGTGATCACTTACATGAAAATATCTTCCTCCACATTAGGGCTCTTCTGGTAACCCTCAGCAAATGGGCTGCCCAATCTTGAACCTTCCAGCCACCAGAATCATAAGCCAAATAAACTTCTTCTCTTTATAAATTACCCAATCTCAGGTATTCAGTTCTAGCAACACAGAACAGAGTAAGGCAGGTCTCAGTTTCAGGTATTGGCAAGTGGTCTCTATTAGACTCCCCATTTCAAACCATTACTAGGCTTCTTTTTCCCACCTTCAGAGCCTGCGAAAACAAAAGTTTGATTCCTGGGGTTCCTCTAGTGTCTTCGGATGAAGGTGAGTTCATCCAAAGATTCATTGCTTCTCTGGGTTCTAGATTTTGATCCTTAGTATTCCTTAATCTCTTAAAAATTTCTTGTTGCATTTTAAGAGATTAATTTTCAGCAGGAGGCTTAGTTTGTTTGCTTGTTTGGCATCTCCAGTTTTGGTGCTTGGTTCTTTGAGCTGAGAAGAGGTATTGGTTGGATTTCATTACTTACTTACTTTTTGTTTTTGTTTTCCAGCTCTCAGGGAGATGCTGCATAACCACTCCTTTGTGGGCTGTGTGAATCCACAGTGGGCCTTGGCACAGCATCAGACCAAGTTATACCTTGTCAACACCACCAAACTTAGGTAAATCAGTGAGTGTGTGAAAAAAGCAGAATCACTAGAAGAATGGTCCAGGGAATATAGACACAGAAAGCTGGGGAGAGCAGCAGGAGGTAGTTGGAAAGGGCACAGGCTTTGGAGTCAGACAGATGTGGTTTTAAATCCAGGTTTGGCCATTTCCTATTGATATGACTGTGGACAGGTTACTTTCCTAAACTATGTGTCAAAGTTCTCATCTGTAAATTGGGATATTACTGCTTAATTTTCAGTATGTTTTTTGAGGATAAGAAATAACCTGAGAAGCCTGGTCCTTGGTAGGTGCTCAGTGCTCAATAAATGTTGGCTGTGAACCAGGTGTTGAGGGCCTAGTACTGTTAGAGAATTTTAGTATCTGCTGCGTGCAACAGGGTACTGTAGCAGATGCAAGGAAAGAAGACCTGATGCCTTCTTTCCCCCTAGCTTTGAGAATGTAGCAAAGGCTTATGTTAGCCACCAAATGAGCCAGTGGGTTAATCAGCACAGGAAAGGTGCTATTTGCCTAGTGCGTAGATGATGACATTTCTGTTGATTATTTCCAGGGACCCTAGTGGATGATTTCCTAGTGAGTCTACTACCTATGTTAAATATGTCCTCAAATAGGTAATACATATGGGAAGATGCTGCCACCTTGCATCTATCAGACATCACTTATCCACTGTGAGACTTTGCCTTTAAGCCCTGCGGTGGTTTCAGGGCGCTTCTTGGCCTTGTGACTGGGGCAGCCACTTTACATTGCTTGGACAAGCATATGAGATAAAAACCTATTTGCCATCCCTAACCTTGAAACTGCCCAAGTCCAGAAGCTTACCATTGGCGCACATTACCCCCTTGGATATTCAGAACTCATTCCTTCTAGGCTTGGAAACCCTTCTGGTACAGCTTCGTTCAAGTTCTGTTGTCTGCTTTGAGATTCCTTGGGCTTGTATAGTGAGCTGTCACTTATTAATTTGTTGGGAATTCTGCTACCCTTTCTTTTTCTTTTCCAACATGTCTAAGGGCATGACTTCTAAGCCTCCAAATCACAGTTGCATTCAGGTTCTTTCATCTCACAGATACAAATCCAAGCCAGTCCCAGAATTGTAGCTGTTAATACATGTGAATTGTTTCCCATTGAGAAAGTTAAAAAAAAACATAGGGAGGGAACCAGGTTCAGAGTCTGATATCTAGATCCAACTCCTTCCTTTGCCACTTTACTAACTGACATGGGACTAATCAGTGACTCACTGGGTGCCTCAGTTTCCCTACAATAATGCAGGCATTAACAGATGCTTTGTCTGCTTTGATAATGAAATGAAGTTTTTAAGCAAGACCTGTATGATTCTGTCTGTTATAAGAACTATAAAATACCATATAAATGAGGTATTTATTCCAATTTTGTGTTTTTATAAATAATATATTATATACTTGAAAGCTGCTTTTGGGTTGTTGCCAGCCAGCGCATCATCCTAAACCATATATCAATGTAGTATAGTTCTGCCATATGTCCACTTTTGATTATTGAGGAGGACTCCCTGGCCTACCTATACATTCCATATAATTTTTGGTGGTGAGTTGTAAAAAAGTGATTTATAGGATTCTTTATAAGTGGGGAAAAGGTAAGCAAACAAAAAAAAAAAAAAAAACCAGGAAAAAAGTGCACTGCAGTTCAGTTTGTCAAGAAGGAAGATATATAACGGATACAAGGTGGGAAATATAATGGAAAATAGCTAGCCAAAAAGCTGTGCACAGAAGCAGGTCCAGCCTCTGGTGGTGTGATATTATCACAAGCAAAGCAGAGGAGACAGAACTACACTCAGCTTAAAGCAGTGAAGAGAGACGTCCACTTCCGAGCTTCACTGACAAGGACCAAACTTACCCTCCTGGGTGGGAACAGAGCCTGGGTGATAGCAAGCCAGAATCAGTCTTAGTGCTTGAACCTGTCTGTGGAGGCCAACCAGAGAGGCTGGTTGGAGCAGACGTTAGGAATCCCAGCTCTTTGGAGGATTAAGAGATCTTGCTAGACTGTTAACCAGGATCCATAGCCAGGGAGAACCATCTCTTTGTCCCATACGTGTTTCAGGGGTTTCTCCTACCATGCTGTCCCTACTGCTTGGCTCTCAAGCATGGAGTCATCTTTTCCTTAAATTTACTTCATTTTTATTTTCAGTGAAGAGCTGTTCTACCAGATACTCATTTATGATTTTGCCAATTTTGGTGTTCTGAGGTTATCGGTAAGTTTATCTCCTTCTCACTCTGAAACTTCAACAACTGGTCGTTTCTGAAAATCATAGCTCTACACTAACATCTTATTTGCAGTATATCATATTTTTCTAAATATGCATAGGATAGTTTCTGTATTGCATGATTTACATATGGAGTATCTTTAATTGTAATAAGGTTTTGTACTTTTTAGCTGAATAGTCATTTGGTAGCCAACTTAAACTAAACTATTTATTATTATTAAAGTTAATATTTATCTTCTTAAGAAAACTTGGAAAGAGATAGAAATGGAAAGAGATAAAAATAGAAATAAACATTCTCTAAACCTGTGGTTCAAACACAACCCCTGACTATTTTAGTCCATTTCTTCCAAAACTTTTTCAATGCCTAATTTTTTTTTTTTTAATTTTTATTGACTCAAAATTGATTATACAAATTTTGGGGTTCAACATTGGGATATGTTGATCAAATCAATGTTACTAGCATATATATTTTTACAAATCATAATTATTCTTTATGCCCCTTCTCCAGTCTCACCCCATCCCCCTCTTCCTCCCCCTTCTAATTACCCTAGATTTCTTCTCTCCTTCTGAAAGAATAATGATTACTCTGTTGACTTGTTGCCTACATGATCTGTCCAATGCTGAGAGGTGTGATCAGGTCCCCCAATATTATCATAGAGCAAATGCTGCTTCTGTCACTCTGAAATGGGCTTTGTGGAAAGAGAGGTCCTCTTCTTTATCTCTGCTGGTGACTCTCCTTGTGTTAGTGCACTCCGTGCACTCCAGTGGCTGGCAGACCGTCTGTGTGGTGGTTATGACATCTGGCCACTTTCACAGCAGCCATGGTTATAGTGGTGGCCGTGGTGGGCCACCCACATGGAGGTAATGTTTTTGGCATGCTCCTTTGTGCTGGCAGTGTGCCTGGTTGTGGGGAGTGTCTGGTCCGCAGACCCATGCCTCGGGACCCCGGGCAGGCCATGAGGTGCTGGCGTTGTGTGCCTGGCTGTGGGAGGGGGATCCGGCCCTTAGCCCCATGCCTCGGGTTCCCGGGTGGGCCCTGAGGCACTGGCACAGTGTGCCTGGTTTGGGGAGGGGATTCCCGTCCCCAGCTCCATACCTTGGGTCACCAAGAGGGCCCCAAGGCACTGGTGCAGTGTGTCTGGTTGTGGGAGGGGGGTCCAGTCCCCTTCTCCATGACCTGGGTCCCTGGGCAGGCCCCAAGGCACTAGCACAGTGTGTCTAGTTGTGGGAGGGAGAGTCCAGTCCCTTTCTCTATGACTTGGGTCCCTGGGTGGACCCCGAGGCACTGGTGTGGTGTATTTGATTGTGGGAGGGGGGTCCGGTCCCTGGCTCCATGCCTCTGGTCCCTGGGCGGGCCCCGAGGCACTGGCTATGTGCCTGGTTGTGTGCACTGGCTATGTGCAGCTGGGGTTCTGGTCCCCAGCTGCATGTCCCAGATCCCCGGGAAGGCCCCAAGGCACTGGTGGTATGCCTGGATGTGGGAGTGGAGTATGGTCCTCAGCTCCAAGCCTCATTTACATGGGTAGACCCCGAGGTGCTAGTGGTGTGAGTGGTTGTGGGCAGCGGTCCTGTCCCTGGCTTCATGCCTCATGTTCCCTGACTGGCCCTAAGGGGCTGGTGGTGTGCCTGGGCCAGAACTAATTTTTTGTCCTTTGTTTACTTCTAAAACAGGAACTTCCTGTGGGAACCAGTACTTGAGCTGTATTGTTGAGCTAAATTCCTGCTTTGCTGCTGTTTCCCTAGGAAAGGCTTTTTCTGCAGCTCAGGGTTTGATGGTTGACCTTATAGGTACTTCTGGCTCTCCAGGGACTGGGTTCACCTGGGTTGTGTAGAAACTCTGATCTGGGCCGGAGTTTTTTCATCAAACTGTGCCCCATGCATTCCTGACCAGTCTCCTCTGAGTGGTCCTGTGTTGATTGGGGGGCGGATTAGCTGTCCTTGCTGTGTCCCAATGTTCTCCTGGCGGGCCCGTTTCCCCCATCACCCGTGTTCTAAACATTTCCCATGGAACAGGCCTTGAATGGCTCCCCTTCAGCTGTTCTGGCTCCTCGCTCATGTGTGGGTCCATGGGAACCCTATTAGTGGTCTTGCTGTCCTGGAGGCCACTGAGGCCCTCTTCTCCCCTGCTGCCTTCAAGTAACTCCATCGAAGGGCACAGCTGCAGCGTCTGCCGGCTCCTGCTCCATTCACTCAGCAGCTCGAGTCTTTTTTTTTTTTTTTTTTTTTTTTTTGTGACCGGTAAGCACCAGCCATCCCTATATACGATCCGAACCCGCGGCGGGAGCGCCACTGTGCTTCCAGCGCTGCACTCTCCTGAGTGAGCCACGGGATCGGCCCTAGCAGCTCGAGTCTTAAAGCAGCTGTGGCTCGGAGTAGTTTTTTCTTTCTCTCATTGTGGTTTCTCCTGCCTTCATGAACTCCATAGGTCTCTCCTCCTCTTCCCCTGAGCTCCAGCGGCCTCTCCTTGGCCGATGTTACATTTTTATAGTTGTAAATTGGTTGTTTTATGGGAGAGAGTGACGCTGTGGGCCGTCTATTCTGCCATCTTAACTGGAACCCTTCAATGCCTAATTTTAATTTACAGTTAAAATCATACCACCTATATGGTTTCATATCTTCTTTTTCCATTTGACATACCTACAAAAAAACCTGGGATTTTGATTTTGTGTTGAATCTATGGATCACTTTTGAGAGAAAATCTTTTGTTAGATTTATCCCTTAATATTCACTTTTTTTGATGTTGTTATAAATGGCATTTTTTTTTAAATTTCAGTTTCTGATTATTTTTTACCTAGTATATGAGGAGTCTTCAAAAAGTTCATGAAAAGATTTGTATGATCTTTTAACTCTTTTTCCACAGATTTTTTGAAGAACCTTCATATAGAAATACATGATTTTTGTACATTGATATTGTATCTTACAACCTTGCTAAACTCATTTATTCTTCCTGTTCGGATGCCTTTTATTTCTTTCTCTTGACTGATTGCACTGGCTAGAACTTCTAGTACAATGATGAATAGAAATAGTAAGAATGAGGCTGGCCCGTGGCTCACTCGGTAGAGTGCGGTGCTGATAACACCAAGGCCACGGGTTCAGACCCTATATAGGGATGGCCGGTTTGCTCACTGGCTGAGCGTGGTGTTGAGAAATAGTAAGAATGGAAATCCTCTTGTTCCTGTTCTTAAAGGGAAAGTACTCAGTCTTTCACCGTTAAGTATGCTGTTAGCCATAGGGAGGATTTTTGGAGATGCCCTTATGAGAATGAGGAAGTTCCCTCCTATTCCTTGTTTGTGTACAGTTTTTATTCAGGAATGGATGTTGAATGCTTTCAAATGCTTTTTCTTTATATATTGAGATAATCATATGGTTTTCCTTTTTTAGTTTCTTAATACAGTGATTTAAGTTGATTTTCATATGTTCATTCCTGGGATGAATCCTGCTTTGTCATGATGTACTGTCCTTTTTATATATTATCAGATTTGATTTGCTAAAATTTTTACAATGTTTGCAGCTATGTTCATGAATTTACTAGTTTGTAGTCTTCTTGTATTTGTGTGGTTCTGATATCAGAGTAATGCTGGCCTTGTAGAATGGGTGAGTATCCTCTTCCTTTTCCATTTTCTGAAAGAGTTTGTGTTGAATTTTTGTTACTTATTCCTTAATGTTCGGTAGAATTTACTAGTGAAACCATCAGGGCCTGGAGAGTTTTTTTATGGGAAGGTTTTAACTACAATTTAAACTTCTCTGATACACGGAGATACTTCAAAAAGGTCATGGAAAGATTTGTATTATCTTTTAATTCTAATTTTTCCATGACCTTTTTGAAGTAGCCTCAGAGAACTATTCAGGTTATTTTTTCTTGGATGAGCTTTGGTATTTTGTATCTTTCAAGAAATTTGGCCATCTTATCTAAGTTTTCAAATTTATTGGCATAAAGCTTTTTAAAAATTCTTATCCTTTTGGTACCTACAGATCTGTGATGTAACCTCTTTCGTTCCTAATATTGGTAATGTAAGTCGTCTCTTTTTAGTGTGATTAGTCTAGCTAGAAGCTTATCAATTTTATTGGTCTTCTCAAAGAACTGACTTTTGGTTTCATAGATTTTTCTTTTGTTTTTATGTTTTCTATTTCATTGATATCTACTCTGATCTTTATTATTTCTTTTCTTGTACCTATTGTGGTTTAATTTGCCTTCTGATTCACATTTCTTAAGGAGGAAACTGAGGTCACTGATTTTGAGTCCTTTCTTCTTTTCTAATATGGTGTGAAGTGCTACAGATTTCCCCTATTACTGCTTTTGTAGCTTCCCACAAATTTTGTTTCCATTCAGTTTAAAACACTTTCTAATTTCTCTTTTGATTTCTTCTTTGACCCACAGGTTATTTAGAATTGTGTTTAGTTTCAAAGAACATACTTGAATCTTTTATACTTGAGACTTGTTTTATGACCCAAAAGATGGTCCATGTTGGTAAATATCCCATGTGTACTAAGAATGTACTCTGATCTTGTTGAGTAGAATGTCCTATAAATTCAAGTACATTGTTGTCAATTGTTCTGGCATTTTCTTTGGGGAAAACAGGTAATTTAATTAACATTTGTGGTTTCTCACTTGCTATTCTGATAATGGTTTTGTGGCTATTTTGGTAGAAGTTTTGTGTGAATTCAGGCTTCATTTGGATGCCCTGTTAACACTTGCTCCTTAATGCTCTTGCTCCTTCCTAGGAGCCAGCACCTCTCTTCGACCTTGCCATGCTTGCCTTAGATAGTCCCGAGAGCGGCTGGACAGAGGAAGATGGTCCCAAAGAAGGACTTGCTGAATACATTGTTGAATTTCTGAAGAAGAAGGCTGAAATGCTTGCTGACTATTTCTCTTTGGAAATTGATGAGGTGTGACAGCCATTCTTATACCTGTTATATTCTTCAGATAAGAATTAAGCTCCAAGATTAAAACCAGAAGGGTGGCCCTCCTCAGAAGCAGCATGTAACGTATGTGATACGCTCTCCACTCCCCGTTTGCGTTTCTAGGTTACGCAATTGTACCGTCATCCATTCATGCCCACTCCTGTTCCCAAGGTGACGGACGCAGACATGAGGGAGAGCTGAATCCCACGGTCCCTGCAGGCCTTAGTAACTGAGATCATGCCACTTGCTCCCCTCTTCCTTCTTTTTGCCCCTTGACCTCTGGGGCTTTCCGTCTTCATGTATTCTTTGTTTGGTGAGCAGATCCAAAGAAAAGGTTGTTCTGCTGTGTATCAGGATGAAAACCCTCTTCTTAAGTGCTTAACTTATCTGCCCCCAGTGCCCTGCCCAGTCAAATACCTGATCCCCCAGAGTGGCAGGTAATGAGGAAAAGGCCTGGGGAAGCACTGGAGAAACGGAATTTATTTACATTAAAGTGTAACAACATTATTTCTTGTCCCCTGTCCTGGCCATTTTTCTACAAGCAGAAAGGGAACCTGATTGGATTACCCCTTCTAATTGACAACTATGTGCCCCCTTTGGAGGGACTGCCTATCTTCATTCTTCGACTAGCCACAGAGGTAAGTGGTCAGCAAATACTAAGCATGCGGGTATGTGCGCATGTGTGCTGGAGGGAGAGGGCACGTGACCTACCTTCATTTGGAATGATAAAGATAGCAAGGTTAGAACAACCAAAGTTCCCTCATCCCCCCAGTATAGAGCCGTCCAGTTTACAGCTTTAATGCTTAAAAAGTCATGTTTAGTTCTTTAGCTTTAAATACTCTATGATCTTCATTTAGAAATGAAAATGCGTTTAAAGCTTTACCTATCTTGAGGTATTGAATTCTTTGGACCAGGTGAATTGGGATGAAGAAAAGGAATGTTTTGAAAGCCTCAGTAAAGAATGTGCTATGTTTTACTCCGTCCGGAAGCAGTACATATCTGAGGAGTCCACCCTCTCAAGCCAGCAGGTACTATGGTGGTATACATTGGCACCTCAGGACTGGGACAGGCCCTCATACAATCTTAGGAGATGAAATTTGCCCATCTCTAAAAATCCTGGGTTTTCACTGTATATAACAAGGTTCATATACAACGGTCAGCTTTTTTTATGGGTTTTCTTTCTTTCTGCTGGTCTAGAATATACCTCCAGCAAGAGCTCAGAAACTGTCAAATGTAAAAACACAAGCCATTACAGTGAGAAATGGGAGGCTGAGTTAGATTGTCCAAGGCTGCTGGCTCCATATCTCCTACTGTTAGCCCTTAAGTGTTTAGCCAAAGTCTTCAGATTCCGGGTCATTCTCCCCCGTCTCTCTCAGCTTTTGCCTTACTTGACATCTGACCACTGCCTTGCCAGGAAAACAAGGCTGTATAACTCCTCCTGTAAGTCAACTTGACAGAAAAAAGGCCTGGGTTCCTAATGTTTCATTGTCACTTTTTCCAGTCAGGTGACAAGGGGGGAGAGGGGGTTGAAACAGTATAAGAATCAAAGGGTAGCCACTTAAATGCGTAACCCCCTCAGTGATTGCTTACAGCCTCTGAGGTGAAGTGGTGTGCTCCCGTTTCACAGATGAGGAAGGTGGAGGACAGCTGCTGCTCAGGGCTTCCCAGAGTGTGGAGGTGGTAGAGCAGAGATTTGGTCCTAGGTCTTGCTGGCCAAAGCCCCTAGGGAACTTCTCACTCCAGTGGATATCTCATTTGATTTAAAAAATTTACCTCAAGGAAAGGAAGGACAGATGAGAACATTTTCTTGTATATATGAGACAGTTAAAGCTTAGAAGTAGGAGAATAATGAGACAAAGTAATCACTTCTATTTTCATTTCTTACCTATGGAGCTTTGTGGAAAACAGGGCTACTTTAAGACCCCCAAATTTAGTGGTGAGTTGCATACTTCCTACTCTTGTCAGCCCAGCGTCAGTCAGGATGAGACATTATGTTAGATCCTGCTACAATAAACGTATTCTTCCTGAATGGAAATGAAGCTTCCCTGGAAGACAGTGGCTTCTTCTTTCCCCCTTAAAAACCTCATGTCATGCGTTCTGGCCTGTGGGATCCCTAAGAGGCTGCCCTACAGAAACTGCTTCACAAGAATTAGATAATACAGACCATTACAAGCCACCAAGACTTTCTAAGCCCATCAGCCAGGAAGCCAGTATACACTGCAGTGCAAACAAGGAGGCTTATGACATCTAACATGTTTTCCAGAGTGAGGTGCCTGGCTCCACTTCAAACTCCTGGAAGTGGACTGTGGAACACATTGTCTATAAAGCCTTCCGCTCACACCTTCTGCCTCCTAAACGTTTCACAGAAGATGGAAATATCCTGCAACTTGCTAACCTGCCCGATCTATACAAGGTCTTTGAGAGGTGTTAAATATGGTCATTTATGGATTCTGAGGTGTGTTGGTCTTTGTATCCTGATGTTGTTGGTAGGACTTAAGACTCCCATTTGCCTTCTGACTAGAAGCACTCCTTCATGCTTGGTGGATTGGCTATAAATAGTCGGATGTGTTCTGATGTGATTTCTTATTTAATTTCGTTATACCTGAAAGCTGTTGTAGATCGATTTTCATGTATTATATACCTGGTTGTGCTGAAGAATCCCAAAAGAAATTTGAAAGCCTGGGGATCTGGTAAGGTGGTGTATAAGCACCATTGAGAATTCTAAAAAGGCATGTATTGAAACAGCACACTGTACCCACAAATATGCACAAGTAATTGTTAAAATTTTTTAAAAATTCTAAAAAAGCCTAGATCATGCTCTGATTTGATTCTTTCTGTATTCTGGTACATTTCTAATATCTGGTGATATATGTCAATTCAGATGCCTCTTAAAAGAGGTCCTGAATATATAAAGGGGCTCCGATGACACTGACTATGGAGAAAGTTTGAACTGCTAATCTATTAGTGTCTTCAGTAACCAAAGCTAATTAATTCGTTAAGGAAAAAACTTGAGGGAAGAAAAAAGTCCTTATCCAGTCTATAACTAGTAAGTAGGAGTTTTTAAATTAGCCCACTTGTTAACAGCTGTGAATATTATCAGCTTAAGATAAAGACATTTCTAGGCATTCTTGTTTGAAGGATATAAAAATACAAACTTAAACTGTAAGTGCCAAAATAAACTACCTTATTATTAGCCTGCATTAATAGAAATTGAGCATTCAGCATAGAGAGAAAGAATGCCTATGGTTTTAAGGTAAAATCCAGATTACCAGATTCAATGAAGAACGTTCAGAGGGGAAGAACAATACTCAATATCTTATCTTAAAGAAATGGAGCCACTTCATTTGGAAAAGACTGGGACCACAGAATGGAAGAGACATTTTTGTTGTACAACAAAGCGGGCAAGGTCAGTTTCCAACAGAACTGAGGTTCCATGAGCCCAGGAGGGCACAGGCCGAATGACCTTGAGTGGAGAGGAAGAAGGGTTTCCTAGGCCTCAAGATCTGGACCACACACTGTGTTTGGTTCCAGCTGGGGAATTCTAGGATAAATCTCCATTTCAGAACACCCTCTCGCCCACTCCCAATCACACAATGATTGTTACTATTAGAAAGAAAATCTATAGAAAGTCATCTGAATTCAGGAGATTGGTTTCCATATTTTACACTTACTCTAAACAAGGGAACAATTATGAGATATTTTATTCACTTTTGAGTTAACTTTATTATCTAGTTTCCAGTTTAGTTTTATTATGTGATATGACTTGATTGATTAGATTTTCCCTAATATATTTTCTGTGTAAACACTTTGAAGATACAGTAGTATCATTTCTATAAAACCACCTTGGTTCTGAGAGCAAAAGAGAATCACAAATTCTGTAAAGTGACTGTACTCAATGATTTTAAAAAAAAAACAACCTCGAACTGCATACCTTTAAACATGAAACTAAAGTTCTTAATAGAAAAAGGCCTGTAATCCAGGTTATTTTTCCTTGAGAAGGAGAGAAAAAAAGAGGGGTGAGATAGATAGGAGGGACATGGTTGCCATGATTTGTTTTAAAAGCTCATGTAGCAAAATGAACATGTCAGTAGCCAATTGTGGTTGGCAAAAGGGTGTGTTTAATAGGATCTGCAGGCAGATTCCCCACCTGCCTGCCCTGCCCCGCCACCCCCTCCCCTTTGGGCTTGTCTGAGGTTTCATTCCACAAATAAGCAGCAGATGAAATACTTTACAAGGTACAGCACAGCTGATAGTGGGGAATAAGGACCCTAAGTATCAGGCCTTGCACTTCCCCTGCCCCGTGCAATAATGCAAGTCTTATATACAATCCCTGTATCTTTTTCTAACATTTTCTTATATAAATTTAAATATTTTACAAAAAAAGGCTTTTTCCTCCAAACATAAATCTGAGTGAAACATAAACTCCTTACCTGTGAACTTGTTTCTGCACTAAAATATAAATGCTATCTGATATTAAGGGTAAATGTCTTTTGACCACTGGAGATCACGGAAGTCTGAATTGCACCATGAAGAAGGCACTTGTGTTTTCTGAGGTCTCCAGCAAGTATCTCAGTGAGCACGCACAGAATCGCCGTCCTCCAGAACCTGTGCCAAGGCCACTGAGTGCCCAGTCACTGAGGCAGCTGGGGGGAAATGCTGAGTAAACATGATTCTAGAATTATGGAAATAAAAAACAAAAACAGCAGGGACCAGTTCTTAGTCTAGAATCAAACTACAAACAAAATCCAAAGTGTTCAATCATGAAGATTCAAAATTGCTTCATTCTTTCATAAATTATAAAATACAAAGGTAGCTGTTTTAATGACAAAACTCAAACAGTACTGAAAGGTGTTTGTGTCAACGGACAAAAAGGGGTTTGTGTCAGTCACTCGGGCAGGGCCCCACAGAGCAGTACCCGGGTGGAAGGGTGGCCTCCTACTGCTGGGCCAGAAGTGCTGTCCTATTGGCCTTCATCTTCTCCAGCCTCTTGGCCAGGTGGCTGTTGGTCATCTCCATCTCCTCAATCTTGTCCAGTGCTGTGCGTAACTGGAGACAGGAAGAGCACAGTCACTTCACATGGTCAGAAACAAAACCCAGTGCTATTTTCTTTACAACCTTCTGGGAAATGGAAGCACTGCTAATTGTGATGGCCTTGCACGGGATCCCTATGGTCTACTTTTTTATTTGTTTATATCACAGAAAGGATATAGAGAAGTTGGAGAAAAAGACCTGATGTGAAACAAAAGGAAAAACTATCTTCTTGCTTATTGCCTAAATCACCAAGACATAAAAGTAAATGGCAGTTACTGTGCTAGTCAAAAACCAACCCAAATGACTAAATGACTCCACTGCTGTTACCGTAAGATTTGAGCCAGTATTAAATTTCTTACGTAGCAAAGAACTCATTTCCAAAAGATTTTTTCTTTTTAAGAATGTCTTCTCCAAGAAGCATATTAAAATAAATACCTCTCGTTGTAGCTTCCTCTTTTCTGCTTTCAGTTCATCTTCTACTTTCTCAGCATTCTCGGCAGCAGTTTTATATCTCAGCACCTGTCCCTCAAGCCGGCTAATCTATAAATATGAGAACACAGGACTATCATATCCAGCACTAGAAGCCACCACTTTTTGGTAGCCACGATGGAAATACATTGTCATTACAAATTCCAAGTAATCTAACACTAACAAGTCCCCTTAGGGTGAGTCATAGGACCTCTAAGAACTGCTATTTATAAATCAAGAAGTGTTCCCAGAGAGGATTACAGCTGTAGAGTCATAGGGCCAATTTCCCATGTTAAGTTTTATGATTGACCATACTGTTAAAGTGCCAAAGTAACATCATTGGAGACCCACTGAATGGAAAACTTTTTAGACTTTTTGCCACGTACACTAAGGGATTTTGTTGTAAACTCCGATCTTGAGTTCTCTTGAAATACCTACAAAAAACAATTATACCTACAGTTTCCTATAATTTTAGAGAAAACAGAAGGCTGTTGCTAGGTGCTCTCTGCTGGCTTTTCTATTTTAATATAGAGCTTTTATAGAGATCCAACTACAAAGGCAGCCCACAGAAACCCAGGCACTCATGGGGTTAGCCACTTAGATGTAGGAAGCACATGTGTTTTAAAGGAAATTTAAATCACGTGGTATCATACAGAAGTAGTACTTACAGGGCCGGCCCGGTGGCGCACTGGATAAGTGCGCCGCTTGGGAAGTGCGGCGGCGCTCCCGCCCGAGGGTTCGGATCCCACATACAGACCGGTTCCCGCTCACTGGCTGAGCGAGGCACGGGGGCAACACCAAGGGTTGCAATCCCGTTGCCGGTCCCCGGTCCGGTACGGGGGCAACACTGAGGGTTGCGATCCGTTGCCAGACACGGAAAAAGACAAAAGACAAAAAAAAAAAAAAAGAAGTAGTACTTACAGGGCCGGCCCGGTGGCGCACTGGATAAGTGCGCCGCTTGGGAAGTGCGGCGGCGCTCCCGCCCGAGGGTTCGGATCCCACATACAGACCGGTTCCCGCTCACTGGCTGAGCGAGGCACGGGGGCAACACCAAGGGTTGCAATCCCGTTGCCGGTCCCCGGTCCGGTACGGGGGCAACACTGAGGGTTGCGATCCGTTGCCAGACACGGAAAAAGACAAAAAACAAAAAAAAAAAAAAAAAGAAGTAGTACTTACACTTTGCTCCAAGGTGGTTATATCCTGTTCTGCTTTTGAAAGCTTAAATTTGTATTCACTAATTTGTCTGTTGGCATCTCCTAGAACAAAATAATAGTGAGTTATCTTCATCTCTCAAAGATGAAGGTGTGAACGATCAGGCAGTAAGCTCTCTGCAGCAGAGAGAACTGTGCAGTCTAAGACTACAAAACACAAATGCACACACAGCAACCATGGTATCTCCAGCAGCCCAGGTTCTGGACTATAATATATACTACAAGAAACTCTAGCACTTATGTTGCAACAGTATCCCTTGGATCAAAAGTTAGAAGAAAATTCATTTTTTCACCCCATGATGTATGTGAGCAGAGCTTTGAGAAAGGAGCCCTGCCAACCTTATCTGCAGCCTTGTGGCCCATGGAGCCTCCAATGCCTATGGGACTGGGCCCTCTGGTTTCCTGACCCCAGCCCTGTACCTTCCCCTCCCAGGTTTGCTTCTCTCCTACATCTCGAGTGCACTTTCACCCCACCCCTCATTTCAGTCTTAACCAACCTTTGACTCCATGCTCAGTTTTCACCTCCTCCGTGACTCTTAGTAACTGTAAGTTCTCCTTCCCTTGTTGCATTTTCTTTGCATTCTTTATGACACGATTTTTAAATATTATTGAATGTGTATGTAAGGAGAACGGCTCTGTCTTAGCTCTCTTAAATCTCTCTCTGACCTAGCCAAGTGCTTCACACATAGTGTGTGCTTTAAAAATATTTGCTGAAATAAAAGCTTTTCAATAACATGTTGTGATCATGTATTATAGGTAGAGCTCTAAATCATTAAAAGTACACCTAAGAAGTAAATTGCTTAAAATGAGAAGTTTAGAAATAATGGGGGAGATAAAAAAAAATCCCTCTAGGAACCCGAATTCAACAAAAAAATCACTCTGTAATGATTATAGAATCATAAGGCTTGCAGCAGATAAACCAAATCTAACCTACCAAAGGAAATATTCAAATTACCTAACTTAAGAACTTTTCTACATTTCCACATGACCAAGGTTACAACCACCAATATAATCTTCAGTGCAAGAGATTTTTCTAATTGGACAGTTATTGCCACCTTAAAAGCAAAGAGGATATAAACCCATCTCCCCAAAAACCACATCTGATAATAAAGAGAAACAATCCTATTCCTGAGCTCTAAAACAGAAGCTTCAGGGTCTTATTTTTAATTGTTATCCCCAGTAATCTCTTGATTACCAAAATGTGCTGCTTCCTTCTCACTCTCCAAACCACTCATTCCTTAATGTCTTCAAAAGTGTAAGTCTCTTGCCTCAGTCATTTCATGATCATTTTGAAATCCCATTCCAAACACTGTGTAACAGCCAAGGTGGCGTGGTCCATGCCATGGCAGGGTCCTAAAGGAGTCAGCTTGGGCTGCCCTCTCCGAGCTGGCAGGGCCGCTGGAGGGAGAGCTGCTGGCAAGGCCACAGCTACGAGCACTTGCTGCAACCAGAAGGGCTACCTGCCTTGGCTTTGTGGCTTTTGCCTTCTCTTTCAATATTTTCGTTAGCGTGGCAGTTCTCTAAATTCCTAAAAGATTATAAAAATACCACAAATAATTATGCAGTCATTGAACTAAACATTCCCACAGAAGGATCCGAGTAAATTGGACAATTTAAAATTATCCCCTTGTGATAAATTGACCACACCAACATATGTTCCAAAAGCACCACTCATGACTAAATTTGAGCTGCAGCCTAATGTGAGTTGGCAAACATCATTTACTGGAGGTTATATTAATGGCAAGAGAATGTTTGGCACTAATGAGAAATTATATGATTGGGACAAATTAAGTATATGGGAACAAAACTGTAGAACCCCCTTTACTTGGTGGTATCCAGTTTTAAATAAATCATTAAGAATCAAGTGTTGCGATAAAAATATATGCTGTAAAATTATTAAACCTGCAAAATTAGATCTTAGAAAAATAAGAGAGTATAATTGGTTTTGTGAAGGATGGTGCTGTGTACAAGGACACTTTAACATTTAGATCAAGATTACAGGGCCACAGCAAATGCATAACCTTAAAATGTGCATGATAATGCTGCTCAAATATCCGCTGTTCTTTTTACATTTGGTAACAGGGTGGATCTTAATCACAGTTTGCTACAGAGAAAGGTCACAAGATAACTTTAAGACAATAAAGGGATGGTTTGAATCTGATAAACCTGATTCCGGGAAATAGAAGCACGAGTTGATCACATAAGACGTGCTGACCTCTAAAAAAGTTTCCTCCCTGCTTTTTTGGACTATTGATTTAAGCTTGCTGATACAATAAAAATAGTACCCCAAAACCCCCCTACAGAGAAAAATCTAAATAAAAGGCATTGTCTCATGCTCTACTGTGCTCCAGCTGCAACATGCTGACAGCTGGCAGAGAGAGAACATGCATATTGATGCACTGAGGTCTCTGTCTGTGTTTGTTATTTTCACCGACCCTCCCTCTCCCTTTTCAGGTACCCACAACTTGACTGGAGCTGGTCTCCAGCACCAAGGCACTGTCTAGGACCAAGAGTTGCCCAGGCTCCTCTCCTGGCCTTCTGGTCCAGGAGAACAACTGGCTGTTTTTCTTTACCAGGCCCAGCCTTCTCACAATCCTGCTTGCAAACTTTCTTCTACACCTCCACCCTGGGTACTTTACCCTACCTTCTGCAAATAGCAACTCTACAACACCTACCTGCTCTAGGAAGCATTCACAGATAAATGCCAGCCCAGCCCCCCTCAATATGACTCCTTTTGAATTTGCTACTTTTGGCCAATCTCTCAAATTTATCCTCTGCCCTCTCTCTAAGACGGTTGACAGCCATTTTACTGGTTCAGGCTCACCATCATAGCTTCCTAACTAGTCAGCCTCCCTCTTGTCATGTCCCTGTCTTCATCTACCCTCCATACCAAAATAACATTCCAGAACAAAATACTCACCAGGAAACATCAGAAGGGTCCTAATTGATATCCAACAGAGGAAGTAATACTAACCTCAAAAATTAGTATTAACAAGCCTTAATCCAAGAAGTCTTTTCTATTCAGCCTAACTCAGAATATTTAGATGAAAAGGCCATGGGATAACCAAAATTTTAAAATCAGTTACCAGAAAAGTCACTATTCAAATTGGAAAAATAAGTTTCCCCATCTGTGAATCATCAGTAAAAAAGGCTAACTATACAAATTGCTGCTAAAATCTTCCTACTACGGGAGTTGGTATGAATACAGTAGCTATTTAAAACTAATACGGGGTCAAAAGTAGAAAGGGAGAAAAACTAAAATAATTTGGGTAAACTGAATAGACTAGATTTTACTTTGTAGGCTTGTTTTAAAGTCCATCTAATAGAGATCAATTGGGGTTAATAAGAATACTTCTAGGAAAATTCTGAAACTACTCAATATTAGTGTGAGTTACTTCCAAACACATTCCTCCAATTATCCAAAATAAATTCCACAGGAAAAAAATGCAATACGGAAAGGTGCTGCATGGGAGCTTAAAGATGACACGTGAATGTGGGAAAGGACAGTGTCAGGTAGTTAAGACTCCAGCAGCCTGCTCACACTCCCACTCCTGGGAAACGGCCTGTATAAAATCAACCAGGACTGGCCTGTCCCCTAGTACCTACTCTGCATTTCAATGAACTGCAAGTCTGAGCCGTTCTGTAGTCCCATCAGGTCACCCGCTGTGCCATCATTCCTGGAGCACTTCTGCCGTTCTTCCTCTAACTGCAGCTTCAGTTTTCTAATCTAAAGCAGAAATAAAGATTCATCAGCAAGATCCAGTCTCTCAAATGAAGCAGAGGCTTGGACCAATGGCCACATCCTAGAATAAGGCAGATAGATCCTCACTGTATTGGTCACATAAATCATTCATTCATTCAGGAACTATTTTCTTGAGTGCCTACTATAAGACACACAGTGTTCTAGGTGCTAGAGATAAGTTATCTGCAACAAGCCCCAGGACCAGGTCTCTCCCAATAAAAATAGCCAGGTTTTAACTATTTGTGTGTGTTTATGCAACAGTACACTTTTTTGTTTTATTAAAAGTGGAAAATTCCATGAGCAGTTAGTTTTGTTTAGTTTCAGAGAGAGGTTTTAAACATTCTTATTTAGAAAACTTTCTGTACACACACACACAAAAAAACTAGAAATATACAGGTGGTTTCCCCAACTGTCCTCAACTCCTTCAATAGGGGTCAAGGAGAAGCCTTAGCACTAAGTCTAAGTTTGCCACTCCTTCAATAAGGAAAGGGTGAGCTCTGCACAAGGACTAAATCCACGCTTCCCAGGCACCTTTGCTCTTTTGACACACACAGGGCCACCAGCACTATCTGCCTTGAGGGAACCAGGTCTAATATCCCCATCATTCCTATGTATATCTATCTGGAAAAGAATCATCCTTTCTCTCCTGCACTCTTCCCCACAAGGCTCTGTACAACCACTAACCTTCATCTCCTAACTTTCCCAACACCTGAAACTCTTCCACTGTACCCTCTGGAATAATCAGTCCATCACTGGCAAAACCCCCTCCATCCTTAATCTCTTCTCTGAAGATTTCCTTTACCTTAGTCTGTAATAGAAACTTGCTCTCCCCGGGCCGGCCCGTGGCTCACTCGGGAGAGTGCGGTGCTGATAACACCAAGGCCACGGGTTCGGATCCCATATAGGGATGGCCGGTTGGCTCACTGGCTGAGCGTGGTGCTGACAACACCAAGTCAAGGGTTAAGATCCCCTTACCGGTCATCTTTTTTTAAAAAAAAAAAAAAAGAAAGAAACTTGCTCTCCCCTAAGAATCCAGGCTCTTCTGCAGCCCTCTGAACCACTAGCTGTTTTGTCCTTCCACAGCCTCCTACCACTGAGCTTGAAGATGGAATAGGTGTCCTCTTGCTTTCCTTATTGTTGCCTAACAGTTCTCCCTCCATACTCCCTACAAGCTGGTTCTTAATCTCACTTCTTCAAATTATATAGTCAGTCCTCCATATCTACAGGTTCCACATCTGCAACCACGGTTATTGAAAATATTTAGGGGAAAAAAATGATGGTTGCACCTGTATTGAATATGTAAAGACTTTTCTTCTTGTCATTATTCCCTAAACAGTATAGTATAACAACTATTTACACAGCATTTACATTGTGTTAGGTATTATAAGCAATCTAGAGATGATTTAAAGTATATGGGAAGATGTGCATAGGTTATATGCAAATACTACACCATTTTATATCAGGGACTTGAACATCCATGGATTTTGGTATCCATGGTGGGTCCTGGAACCAATGCCCTGTGGATACCAAGGGACAACTGTATTGCTTACCTGTCGTTACTGTGATCAATCCACTCCTCCTTCACCATTTTAGCTCCTGACTCGCACTCCCTCAAGACTATTCCTGTCTTGATTTTTGACAAATTCAAAATACATCTAAATAGAGGATCTGTCCTATAACTGATCTCTCAGTTTCTAGAACACCTCTCCTCCAAGAATCTTGCCATCTGTCCCTTCTTGCCCTCAGCCACTCACTCCCACAGCCATACACTAAACGCATCATTAGATAATTGCAATCCCTATACAGTTTAGCTCCATGTATCCTCTCTCTAACCATGATTCCTGAACTTCCCAGCTCATTCCCTCTCTAGACCCCAACTCCCACAATCCTTCAACTCCACTGGTACCTCCAACCCATTGATTCCATCTTTCCGCTGTGCCTTGATGTCTTCCTGGATGTCCTCTTAACCCTCTTTATCCATATTAAGTTCTAGGTCCATCATTATCATCACTCTCTTACACATTCCCTCACCTCCTCTTGCCCCCTTATACTCACCTGGTAAAATCTATCTACCCACTCTATACCCACACCCATGCAGCTGAATGTTGCTTGAAAAATACATATTATAAACACATTCATACAAACCTTCTAACATACAATATAATTTACTTATTAATAATGTTTATTGCTTATTGTCTGATCTCCTCTCACTAAAATGTAAGGTCCACTGGGGCAGGGATTTTTCTTTTTATAAACTGATTTAATCACTGAAATATCCCAGATTCCTAGAATAGTGGCTGTTAAATAGTGGAATCTAACTCAACACTTGGTGAATACTGAATAGGAATTCCAGAATGAGATAACACAGAATACAGGAAGGCAGAAAATCTATAACAAAATCATTCATGAACTTTTCCCAGAACTAAAATACAGAAGTTCCTAGAATTGACAGGATCCCAGTACCATGCATGAAAATTTCAAACCACATCACCATGAAACTTAAGAACACTAGGAAGAAAGCAGATACAAACTTCCAGAAAGAGGGAGAAATAGGTCAAATACAAAAGATCAGAAACCAAAATGTCATAGAAATTCACAATAGCCATACTGGAAGCCAGAGGACACTGAAGAAACGTTTTTTTTAGAAAATCTGAAAGAATGGGCCGGCCCGGTGGCACACTGGAGAGTGCGCCGCTTGGGAGCGCAGCGGCGCTCCCGCCGAGGGTTCGGATCCCATGTGGAGACTGGTTCCCGCTCACTGGCTGAGCG